CATTTTGCCTTCCCCTGATGAAAATTGTTTTCTGCTTCGACACCCAACCATATCCAACCAAGCTTAGCACATATCCCCTCAAACTAACTACTATTCCCCAAATCGCTGCGATTCACCTTGGGCTCGCAGAAATCGCAAGTCGCAATCGCACAAATCGCTGCGTTCCCGCCGCGCTAAGGTTAAGGGTGGAGTGGGAGTGGGGGACGTGAAAGAAAGTCGAACACCTAGGCCTGGGATGAAAATAGAGGGGGTATGACACTAGGTCCTCCAGTAGAGAGGTAAAAATAAGGGGTACCCTGCGAATGAACCGTTTGGGGGTTTGGTTGCATGAACCAAATGAAACTTTTTAGGGGCTCCTGCATAAATTAGGCCCTCCAGTAGAGAGGTTAGAATAGGTTGGAACCGTCTTTTCGTCTATTTTTGTAGGGGAACCCTCCCCCAAAAAAGAAACGGTAAAAGGGCACCTAGCTGGGGGACCTAGTACGGGTGGAGTGGGAGTGGGGGACGTAAAAAAGAGTCGGACACCTAAGCCTGGGATGAAAACAGAGGGGGTATGAAAGCAGTGGATGTTGGAGTGGGGTGGGAGTTGGGGTGGACTGTCAGTGGGATGAGCTGAAAATGAAAACCCGCGGAGTATGAAAACCTTAAACCTCGGGATTTCTCAGAACACTTCGAAGTTCGGTGTATTGGTTTTCAAGCCTGAACCTTGGAGAAAAGTATTCTCCTTGTCCAGCATTGTGAAAGGACCAGTTTTGACACGTGCGAGATGGTCCTAAAAGTTGATCCAGGGACATTCCTTAGCCAAAGGGACACAGATCTCTTCAGAGCCGGCGTCGGCCTTCTTTTTTTAAACTCCCATACTTTGAAATGAACCTCTCGGGGCCCCAGTGTTGTTTCTTTGAATTCTCGCCCCGGGGGCCGGAAACAACACCTCCTCGAGAATTGTGGTCGAAATTCCCAAAGGTCCCGAAAGATGATGGAACAAGATGATGGAACTCCCCAAAGTTTGGCAGGCTTGAACAGCAACCTAAAGAGGGTTACTTCCTCAAAGGAACACGATGCTCGGGTTTGTCCTGATTTTGGGGAACCCCTTTTGATTGGTTCAAACAAAAGGAAAACAACAGGAAGCCAGCTACTTTTGGGGGTTCGCCTGTTTCAAGACACTCCCAAATACAAATACATTTGGTCCATGACCCTCCCTACCGACCCAAGGGCTGGAGTGAGCACCACAACGTTGAAACAGAGGAACCGATGGGTTCAAAACTAGCTTTCCAAACTGGTTCATCAGCTTGAAGAAACCCCTTGGGAACAACCCTTAGGATAAATGCCAACCCCCAGGAATACTAAGAATTGCACCAGTTGGGACGGAGTCGAACCCCCATGTCTAGATAAAGGACTTGAATTCAACCTCAGACCTCAGATGTTCGGAATCCGAGAGAATTCATAGGTTTCACTCCAACGCGAACCTGAAACCCATGGGATCTTTAAAACCCCACAACCGCCTCCATGAAACCAAGCCATAAAGCAATAACCACCGAACATCTTGCTGGTGCGATAGGTGGGGAATGACCTTGCCTTGAAGGAAACCACAGGGGATTGTTTATAGGGGTCATTCCAATTCTCATCTCCTGCTGGCCACTGGTTTCGGTCTCCTTTTTGTTTCGTATCAAGCTGGGGACCCAGCGCTCTTCTCGCACGCACTGATCGTGGCACTGGCAACAATGCCGTTCAGCTGCAGGCCGACGACCGCAACCTGCGCTATGAATCTTCCCTCCGCAAACAGACGGCGCCCAAATAGAGTTGGAGTCTATACGCTCCAGAGACAGCCGCTGCAAATCACTGAAACTTCCGGCCATCCAGGTTGGGAACAGCTACGGATCGGATCTGTCAATCCGCTGGCTCGGTGCACGAGCAAAAAACCGCTTCCTGTGTCCCTGGACTTCGTGCGAGGCATGGGAGAGCTTTGGGGTCCAGAGGCCTTGGGGCATCTTTCAAGCTGCAAGCACTTCTGCTGCCAGGACCTCCGAAAGCTTCGGTAGAATTCGATGGACACATCTTTGAACCCAGGGGTTCATACCATGGGGGCCTTCAACTCATTCAGGCTAGAAGTTGCAGCAGTGGTTTTCATAGGGCACCAACCCCGCCACGCTACCCTGGTAAGGGATGAGGCCTTTTTTGGCTTATTTTTGCCTCATTCCGACCAAAGAGGCTACTTCACCCCTAACCATTCGGGGGCAGGAGGCTGTTGGGTGCTGGAGGAGTCCCTAACAAATCTAAGGCTTATCAAAGCACAACCACTCAAATGATAGTGGAGTTAAGCGGCTAGCAAACTCTATTTCCCCCCGTTCCTTATGTGTCCGCTTCAGCATCACTCCACCAAACAGAATCTCGTTGTTGGAGAGTGATGCCGGAATCCACCAAAGGCAATATGGAGAGGAACCTCCTTTGAAGGGCTTCACTTGTGGGTTTCCGCTTAAGTTGCAGCTATGGCATTTTCAGAGATCCATTGCACCGTGACAGCTCAAACCTGCCTCGCGGGTCAGAAGATCCTGGCTTGTATGCCACTCAAATAAGCCCAACTTGTTTTAAGTTCCAGAAAGGTGGGGGGAGCGAGCTGAATTGCGGCGTTTCGAACCGCCTCCCGCAGCAAGAGCAGCGCCACGTTCCATTGCCGTTGCCGCCGGCAGCGGCCGATGGCCGCGGTGTAGCGAGCCGGGTGATCCGTCGGGGCCGAGGCCCGGGGCAAATACATCGGGCTTGAGCCCAGGGCGAGAGGCAATGCCTATCCATTTGCTTAAGCCCCCTGGACAAAATAAACATATTTCCAGTAGTCATAGATTCCCTTTAAAACCAACAGGATAAATAACATATTCTAAAGCAAATGGAAGTATTGTGGGTAGGTACCCTCGCACAACATGGAAGTGGAGGAGGAAAAACCACAAACCTGGGTTTATTACAGGATGTTCCTTGGGCGGATTCAGCAGGATTCGCAACAACTTTCCGAAATTACGGTGCACCGTCGCGAGTTCATTTGCCCGGCGCATATGTCCGTGCTAATCAATTCAAAGGGCCCCCCACATGTCCCTTCGAAACGAACCACAAACTGGACAAATATAGACCGAACCTCATATCCGAACTGGACAAATATAGACCGAACCTCATATGGTTACAGTTATGGCTGGATACTTCCGGCTACTTCAGGCCATGCTCCGAAAACCCGTTGCTCCCAAAAAAACGAAACCGGCACCCGCGGGATTTGGTTCACCAAGCTGAGGGGTCCCCATGGAGATTTGCCGGACCATACCCCTTGTTTGGTTGCGAAATCTGCTCTTGCTAACAGAACAACTTTTAGTGGCTTTATTCGGAAAACCCAATAGTTGGCAAAACATTATTCAGTCCTAACAGCCCTTGGCAAAATGCACCAAAGCCTTGTTTGGTAGGAAAAAACGGCAACCCTTACAAGGAAACCAGCCATTTTGAAGGGGCCCCCTCAAAAAAGACAGACCCGAATGGCTTCCCAGCCATCAAACCCACTGGGTTGATCAGGTTCGACGCGGGAAGCTTGGGCCCTTCCGATCCCATCGCTGTTTCGACATCGGAATCTGGATGCTAGGGTTGAGAATCTCCTTTCCTTTGGGGACTTCATTCGTTTCAGGGGGATTCCTCCAAACGCTGATATCATATGTTGCTCTTTGTAGTGTAATATGTCTCTCTCTCTCTCTCTCTCTCTCTCTCTATCTATCTATCTATCTATCAATCTATCAATCTATCAATCTATCAATCTATCAATCTATCTATCTATCTATCTAGCAGCGCATGTCTATGCCTATGTCCATGTTTATGTATATATGTTCCAGGCCGTGAACCCTCGCCCCCTCCCCGCCCCCCCCGCTGTGGTTGTGGGGTGGGGTGGTGGGGTGGTGGGGTGGTTGGGTGGTTGGGTGGTTGGGGTGGTTCGGAGTTGGTTTAGGCTTGGTGGGTTGGTTTAGGGTTGGTTCAGGGTTGGTTTGCGGTGGGTTCGGGTGGGTTTGGTTTCGGGTGGGTTTGGGGTTTGGGTTGATTTAGGGTTAGGGTTGGGGTTAAGGAGGTGGTTTAGGGTAGGATGTTGCGAGAGGTGCTGGGGTGTTGGTTCACGGGGTGAAAGGGGGAGTCTGGGACCGAAGCTGCAAGGCTCACACGGTACTGGACAGCATCCCCAGCATTGCCAGCATCATCCCCAAGATGCAGATGATGCGGGGGAGTGGGGGGACCATACCATTGAGGGGGGGGGGGGGTTCCGTGGCCCAGGGACTGGTACATACATATATATATATATATATATATATGTATCTTCTACTGTACACAATATGCCTAGGTCATTAAAGGTTCCTGTTCCAACAAACCACGGAAAAGGCAACTTCAAGGTGCCGCCAAACACTCAAGTGCTTGCCGGTCGCGCTATTTCTTTTTGAAAAACCAACCGGGGGAGGAGGTTCCGCCAAAGGCCCCAATGAAGCTTGAGGCGGATGCCTCCGAAAGCAGAAATTCCTGGCATAGTCGGTTCCCTGAAGAGACCGCCAACCACAATGCACAATATCAACTGCAGGGAATCCCTTGCTCCTTGCTTGCATCAGGTTTGGGGAATCATCCGTTCAAGTCTCCAACCCTAAGTACTCTGGAAATGGCACCTCGCGAGGCTTTTTAAGGGTCACCATCAGGAGAACGAAGCTATGTGGGGGTCCAACCTAAGCAAAGACAGACCCCACTCAGCGGTTTCTCTCGTTTCTTGCTCCTTCCCCTTACAACCGAGGTACGCCAACTCATAGCCTTACAGCCGATGCGACTTGAGAAGGATTTTGGCGGGCCCGTCTAAGCAGCACAAAAGAACAGAAAACTCAGTGATAAATAGAGATAGAGACCAGGTGACCCCTTCAACTTACAATGCTAGTTTTGCGGCTTTCGCCATCCTTTGGGAGTCTCGAAGCGTCGCTGTTGACCAGTTGTCTTGGATGCCAAGTCGCCATCGGCCCACGTTCAAAGCCAAGGACACCACAGGCACGGCGATTGCGCCGAAGGTCAAGTTGGGATGTGCCAGGACCTAAGTTGACTCGAAAAAACCGCCAAAACCGCATGAGGACGTGTTTTTGAGGCTGCCCATTTTTTTTTTGGAGGGTGTTGGACTTTTTGGGTAAACCAAACAAGGCAAACCCAATGTATAAACCAACCTCCACATAGCGCTGGATGGCCCTCGCTTGTGGCCTGCGGGCCCCGATTCGATTGCAGGGGAGTCCCTTCGTCTCACACAAAGTTTGTCTCAGCTCCTGAGTGGGGGGAATGCCCAACATCTCAACTTGCGCGTTTTCTTCTTCTCTTCTTTTTCTTTACCAATGCAATGGTCCCTAAAAAAAATCATCAAGTCCAGGAACTCGCGAAGATTCAGCCAATGCAATGGTATATCAAGTCCAGGAAACGTCTCAACTTGCGTTTGTTACCTATGCCATGGTCGGGAACTCAGGGAGTGCTCGCTCCGTCCACGCCGTTTCTCCGAGGCGCAAAGCGAATCAGCTGGCCCAGGGCCTCCACGATCAGCAAACGGAAGGCTTCGACCACCTGGACCGCGCGCGCGGGTCTGGCGCTTGCCCGGATCTGGTCGGTGTTCCTTGGCCCACCTGTGGCGGTAAGATGTGAGGATACCTGTTCTTTTTTTGGGGTGGGGGGTGGGGGGGGGGGGGTGCGGGGGTGGGTGGGTGCTTTCAAAGGCGAAAGAAAAAGGGAAACCCATCATTCTAAGGTGTATTATAGCTTCTTAACACGACCCCAAAATGGTGGTTTCCTGCTGGTCCGGTGGAACAGGTGTAATGTTTATATGTGCGGTCCTGGCTTGTACTTGTTAATATTCCGTTCGGCCCAAATGACCATGGGTAGCTTTTCCCATTTGGTGGTGGACATATCGAATCTGCTTCGCGGTTTCCCCCGATGGGACCTTCTGATCAACCCCTGTGTGGGGTTGTCCAACACAAATCTACGCCTGGGGCCTTTGGACGCCGCCCTTTCAAGTCGAGTCCCCAGGTAGTCGTGAGGGCAAAGCGGCCCTTTGAGGCGGTCCAATCGCCGGGCGTTCGCGATGCAGGTGTTTCCTTTCGTAGTCCCTCAAATATGCCAGCTGAACCACCCGTAGAATCGTGAAAGGGAACATTAAAGGCATACAAAACTTGTTGCCAACCTGAGGCTTGTTCATCTTTTAGGCATGGAACCATGTGTTGTGTGCTCTAAGGAGTCACAACTACTTGAAAGTCCACCACCTTTTCTACAGCCTCGAGTATGACGCATGTAAAATACAGAAAATGGCCAACTCAACAGGGCAGAGGCTGAAACAACTTGCTGGTTCTGAGCAGGGAATGAGAATGTGCATGCGCCCAAGCTATCCCATCCCCATTGGTTTCTTGTAAGGGAATCCCCAAAACCGGTTCGTTCAAACAACAACCGGAACGGTCATTCCCGATCGCACCAGCAAAACAAATCCTAACACTGCCATCTGCTTTTCTCGTGTCCTTGGTTTCAGCGTACCCCACCTCCGGCCCAACTCGGGGCGACACAAAACATCATGTTCATATTCTTCAGTTTTTGTCTCCCCGTAAGTCATGAAATCATTGAGACCTGGTGCTGACATTCTGCCTGATGTTTCATGACTTTGTTTGGCTTACCCCAATTGAATGATTCTTAGCTTCCTTTTGGTTTCCTTTCAAACCCAACCCAAAAAGCAGAGTTTGGATTGAAGCCTCAAATCCGTTGGCTTCCTTTTGGTTTAACCTTTCAAACCAAGCGGCCCGCTAACATGTGGACACCAGCCGCTTGGCCCCTTGGCCTGGCTCTCGCCCTGCCTGGAGGGCCGCGGCGGTGATTAACTCCAGCTGGGACCACAGGGGCGCCACCGCATCCTTGGAGCCTTCCAAGGCCTGCGGCTCGGCTCGGAGCCCCAAATCGGCGCCCAAGAAATCCTCGCGCCCAGCCGAATTTCTTGGCTTCAGTGTCCCTGTTGTCCCTTTAAAGCCACAAGAAACAAATCTTGGTGGCGAAATCTGCGAAGCCCTGCTAAAAGTGAACAACTTTTGGTGGTTGAATACGGAAAACCCAGTTGGCAAAAAGTTAAAGTCCTAACATCCCTTGGCAAAACGCACCAGAAATTTGCTTTTGTCCGGGGCACTCTTGAAGCAAACATCGAACTCCCAGTGAAAAAGCAAACCGCTTTTGGTTGGTGTCCTTCGGTTTCCATTTACGAACCCAAGTCGCGGATGGATGTGGCATAGGAGCGATGAGGGGGTTGATCAGCATTCCCGACCCCAAAATGCGCTTGGCATGGATGCAGCCCTATGAATACTGGGATTAATAATACTTTGTCCATCTACAGTCGGGTCTGCAAATGTTGCAATCAATTCCGAAGCCGAAGATACGAATTGGATCCTGGGTTGAAGGTCAAGTCGAATCGACTGTTGTGAGCCGGGGAACGTGCTTAACAAGGGGTGGAACCGACTGAAAATGGATGGATCGCTTCGGTGTGCTCAATTCAAACACACCTCCCAAGCCTGGGAATCTTGGCAAAGGCTGTGCTTCGCAGCCGCGCAACATGAGCGCCCAAGAACCAAGCCACACTTCGAAACATGCCAACAAACGGTGAACATAAGAGAACTTTCAAAGCAAAGGTGACTTGCGAGTGCTCAGCAGGGAATGAGAGGAAATGACCCGTAACCATCCAGCTGGTGGTGGTTTCCTTTCAGGGGACCAATTGGGTTCATCATTCCCTGAGCACCAAGGTGATTCCTTTTGATTTCCCTTCAAACACTTTCTCAAAGAGTTCTTCGCAAATGGACGTGGACCATTTTGACAGCCCGACACATGCCGAGCTCCGTTGAAAGCAGACACGTACCAGCTCAGTGCAAATTGGGGGGGGGGGGGGCTCCTTTGTGTTTTCCATATGCACAGTGGATGTTGGGTACTGTAAAACCAGCCAGTTTTTCCTGCTGGTCTCTAAACAGCTGTTCCTTGGGCTACCTACTATACAGGCAAATGGAAGCACTGGGTCAACCACTTCCCCAACGGGATGTGCCAACTCGAATTGGATTCATCTGGCGCCTCTTTTTGTTTACATATTTTTAGTGGGTTCCTACAGAATTGTTTGGTTTGTTCCAAAGTTGGAGCGCTGCAATTGTCCTCGAAAGCTGTAATTGTTCCCACAAAATTGCTTGACGCATGGGTTGTTCCAAAGTTGGAGCATGTTGTTTGTCTTTCTTGTTTACATACTGTGGATGGACAAAATCCTGCACCACTGTGAAACCATGGGAAACCATTAGTTGTTCGTATTTACAGGGCAATCGTCATTCCACAGTTTCTTAGGTGGTGCGAAATGGATTATGTCCATCCACAGTCTGTTTGGCTTCCTCCAGAGTTGGGTGTTGATTCTTGACCCTTTACACCACCTACCGGACCCGCCAGCTCAGACCGGACCCGCTGAGAGCCCTGCCAGAGAGGCGGCATTGGCTGCCAGGGACACCTGGGCGCCCCGAAATGGAGCGAAAGGTGGCAAGATGGGCGTGTCGGTTTTTGGGGGACCCCCCCGAAGAAAAGAAGTATGAAGTTGGTGTTTTTTTTGAGCTGGTGCCCCTTTTGACACCAGGCAGAACCCTCTAAACTACCGATCCACACCATTTAAGGCTTACCCAAGTTGATCTATGATGGAACAGTACCGTTTCTGTGGTACCAAAGTGTGCACTAGAACTTGATTTGAACGCCGCGTTGATTGGTGACTATTCCCTTCGTGCCAACATCCGGTGTGAACTACTACACAAAGCGAACCGTACCAGCTGCCAGTTCCAAACTGTTAGCCATGGTCAACACATTGGTCATGGCCATGGCTCTCTGACAAGCACCCCGTGGTCGTCTGACAGCACTCCTAAATAACCTACTATAAATGAGCAAACTCCTGCACCTAAGAAAAATTGGAATTGCTTTCCCTGTAAACAGCAGCGAACAATGGTTTCCCATGGTTTCGGAGTGGTGCATAATTTGGTCCATCCAAAGTAACTTGGTCGTTTGACTATGACCCTGTCTGGAACGTGTGCTGGAAGACACATCGGGCAAGGGCTGTAGCTCACAGTCTGCAAAATGACCCTTCAGCGGTGTCCTGGTGGTTTCATTTTTGGCCCAATATGGCCATGGATCAAAATCCCATACCCCCGGTGAACATCCCAATTCCGACAAAAATAGGTTCTAAAATGGGTGGTGCACCTACCCCAAAATGGGATCCATTGGTTTTGACCCACAGCCATATCCGTTTACCCCAGCTTTTGCCAGGCCACCGCGTGGGAGACGCTTTCCATCAGCGCTGGCTTTCTGGCCCAGCGTGAGCAGGCGAAGTCCGAAGCTCGGATGCTGAAGGGAAAGCTGAGCTCAGGTCCCAAGACCCTTGTTCCTTCTTGTACATGCTAGACGATTGATCCCTGCGAGGAAAGCAAAAAGTTCGGTTCGAAGCAACTCTGGGTTTGTCTGCAGGAAGTCTGGGTGCTCGTGCCTTTGGATCAATTTAGCTGTAAAGTAGGTAACCGCCGGGGTTCCCACCTTTTAAGCGCGAAACAAGTATGGGGAAGGGTTACCTGATATAGGGGCGAAATCCCTCGGCAGCCCTAGATTGCCAACGGCTTGGGGTTCAATTGCTAGCTCCCAAGGCCCTTGGAGATTAGGGACAAGTCGATCCCTCCTTTGGCAAATAAAACACCAAAGCACGGGGCAAATCCTTTTGCCAGGAGTTTGTCGATGGACTAAGACTTGCATGTACATGTCTCGAGCCTGCACCGACGCGAAACAAATCCAGCGGAAAGCCAAAAGCTCAACTTCGAAGGGAATGATGGTGTGCCAGCTGGCAGCGCCCCCCCCCCCCCCACAAAAAAAAGGTATACCCCCTCATATACCGATCACAGGTCCCAAATATTTAAAATGATACCCAGTCATTGTGTCAACTAGAGGTCCCCTTGTAAGTTGTACGCCCCTTTTATACGTTAACCATAAATTGCTATGAGTTGGCATTCCCAATTCAAACGGATATGGTCAGGGTGCGGAATTTCGCTTGGAGACTTATGTACGTGAGTCATGGAGAAAAGCAGAAATGAGCACTCCCATGTGGACGTACACGCCGGCTTTTTGTGGTCAGGGACGAATCCTACAGGCAGCATTCTGACTCACAACCTAACATGAATCCCCGGGCAAGTGGCTTTCAGTATGGATTCTTCTCTATGGCTACCCCTGGCCTAGAATAGGCAGGATTGGAATCCTTAGATGAAAGCTTTGCGATTCCAGCAAGCAGGACCGAGTTACACGCACCAAGTGTTGCTAAAGGGCAAGCAATGGACACCTGGCCCGAAGGATCTATGTCGGCTCTATTTACGTACTTAGGTACTTTGGTCCCCAAATAAATAGACAATTGTCCTAAAACTCTCCCGAGAGTTGCTCCAAAGACGAAATGGGTCGGAAACGAACACACAAGGACCCCCGATTGTTCTACCTACCCCTGTGGCTTGGTCATGGGCTTTTTGTTTAGGGTTTGGGCCCTGCTCATAGAAGCCATTGACGAGAAGTTGCCCAAGCACCCTCCCAAGAACAAGGTTGTTTGCTAAACCATTTACACTTGGATAGGAAGAACCAGTAGATGGCCCTATCTTCCCATTCTTGGTCATCGTCTTCATTTCGCCAGATAGGGATCTACTTTCCTAGTGTAGAGTCCTTTAAAGGAATTTAATTTGGGGTAGCTCAAAAGTCACATTATGTCACCTTTACAGGCTGATTCAAAGGATTCGCTTGTAAATCAGGTGGTCTTTGGATGCGTCTTCAAGGTTTCCCGGTGGGGTACATACCCTAATGAAGCTCTATCTGCTTCAAGCGAGAGTGCCGACGTCCAGGCGCTCCCAGTTCTTCCTGTCACACCAGAGCTCGGCATGCAGGGCCAGGCCGGGTCTTGGAAATGTGAGGAGAGAGGACGCTTCGGGTCAGGCTACATAAGTCGGCTTGATGTGCATATCCATGACTGAATGCATGGAAAGTAAGCATATGGATGTATGTATATGTAAGTTCTTGTTTGAACACCAACAGCATGTGTCTAAATGTTAAATGTACGTAATATGTATGTGTGTATATATATATATGTATATATATATATATATCATATCTCTCTCTATATTTATATACATCATATATATATATATATATGTATATATGTATATATATATCATATACACTTTTTAAATATCATATATATATATATGACGGTTGTCTGAAATTCCTTGTTCCGGAAACCGCCATCTTCGCGAGAAAAAAATAACTTTCGTGGACCCCATCGCGGAACTTTCGCGGGTCAGAACATTCATCACAAATGTAGTACACGAAGTAAACTTTCGCAGCCCCACGCGAAAGTCGCAGCTCTTCAGTGCTTGAATTGGAAAGTAGTGCACGAACTAAACTTCCTCAGCCTCGAAAGTCAGAGCTTTTCAATACGAAAGTAGTACACAAAGTGAACTTCCGCAGTCCCAGCTCGAAAGTCGTGACCTTTCAGTTCCAAAGTAGCACGCGAAGCGCGCTTCCGCAGCTCCAGCTCACAAGCCGCAAGCTGCGCATGAGAGGACCCGTTGGCCTCATGTCCGGAAACTGCCGACTTTCGCGAAACTTTCGCGGATCTTACGCCAAACATTCGCGAAAATCCGGCTGGAAGTTGCGCTCAGCTTGCCCCGACAGCTTCAAAACTCCCAGAAGCTGGTTTCTGCTGGCTGGGGGTTGCTTTTGCAGCGGCGTATTCTTGCGGCGACCCTCAGGCTGCGCATTCTCCGACCAACTTTACTCTGCGGGCATTCTGCGCGCACTGCCGGTAGATACACATGGTTCATCACTCCAGCTTCCTGTTAGCAAGCCACACAAAACTTTCGCGGAAAAACTAAGCCCGAAAGGTCGTCCCCTTCATAGCTCAATACAACGACCTATCGGACGACTCTCATATGTATATTATCATAGGTTAATGAATGAGATGCAAGGCTTCAATTTACGCGAAGGCTCCGAGATGAATTTTCGTCCCCTGGGAGGAGGCAAGGAAAGAGAGCAAAACGGGCACGACGGGGCTGAGGCAACTTAAAAAAAAGGCGTCGGTGGAGCCGACCGAGCCACCCCTGCTGTGGGTGTATATGTATATATGTATATACATATATATATATATGTTACATACATTTTCCTTTTTGCGATTTAAGAACGGTCACTAAAAAAGGGGTCCTCGTAATTCAGGAGATTCCTCGGAACATGGGGTCCATTCTGCTGGGTGCCAAAATACAGGCCAAAGAAAGGATCCAACATCCGAAAACATTTGGTGTTCCCTTTGATGTGTCGCCTAAATGAAGTCGACATCTGTTTTGTTTTGCGTGGGCCTCCGTCCGGCCTGGTTTCGGCAAAGTACCTAGAGACTGCTTGACGACAAGTTGTTTATGTGGAGAGCCAAGCTGCTGTGTGTCATCCCCTTTCAGTCACACTCCAGTTGCCAAGTTATCCTGCAAAAGAGAACCTTTCTTGGGGTCAAATACCAAACAGAAAGAGATTTAGAGGGTGGAATCCACTGGGCTGTTGCTGAAACAAATCGGGGCCACTGGCGTTCATTGGCGCCATGGTGTCCAAAGGCTCCTAGAAGCTCCTTTCCTTTCCAGTGCGTGCACGTGAGAGAGCGAGATGTGAAAAGCGCAATCCACGGGGTGGAACTTCGGAAGCGGAGAGCGACAGTGACTGCTTTCACGATGCCCCCCCCCCAGAATCGATTCCCCAAAAGTACACTTGTGCGGTGCCTCCATTCGAAGGGCTAAACCATGGCTGTATCAAGAACTATTGTCCGCTGCGTTGCGGGACTCCATCCATGGGGTGCATGAACAGTATCTTTGATATTGGCTTTGCCATGCCTTAGCTTCAAGATCCCTGTGGCCCGTTCTCTAAGTAGCTAAAATTGAAGAGGGGGTTCCGCAGGGATTCGCCGCTAAGACTTTTCAAACTGGAGTCACCACCCATCCAACGGCAAAGTCATTGGCATCTCGCTGCTTTCGTGCCCGAAGGTAGCCCTGGGTCTGTTTCATGATGTGTCATGGATGCACCGATGCGCATCTGCTTCTGCTATGACAACTAGGTCGTTTTTGCTGGCTTCTGGGAATCAGCCATATTCCAAGCAAATCAAACGCTACATTGCAGACCCAGAAGCAACAAAGTCAATGCTTTCTCCAGTCCAGCAACCCTTCGCTTGTTCCACCCACGTGTCTGCCGGCGATGCCGATCGCTCGATGTTACGTTCATTTATCGGCAACGTGGCTTCACAATCCGTGTGGCCGCGCCAATGTTGCGCTTCTGAGCCAACAGTCTGGCCTTTTGGGGATGCAAAGTTCAACCGCTCCCAACAGATTCAATGATTTGTGCTCCAGACACGCGGAAGACGTGGGGGCGCTGAACAAGCAGGCGTATCTGTGTCTAAACGTGCTGTCTAGCAAACTGCCCAAGATGTTGGAAGTCACCCTTTTGACTTCATCACAAATCCTGAAGCCCTAGAACTGCTTCTCCCAAATAACACAACCTGAGGTAGAACAATTGACCATGCCCCACAAAACTGGAGTCACACTGCGCGATGGTGGGTGCCTTGCTCATTTACAGGGCATCGGATACTCCAAGTCCCAGTGGCATTTGCTCGAATCCAATGCTATGAAATGATACCCTTTGTCAATTCGTCAAACAATGTACAAGCTAGTCAGTCGCACACATTGGCTTGCTCACGCTGCCGAGGCATAGCAATGGCACAACTGCACGGTGCGCCATTTCGATACCTCAGGCTCCAGACAGTGTTCTTTAATTCTCCAAAAGACTACCCTTCAACAAGCATCCCAAAAGTGCGCCTGAATCTTGATCGGCCACACAAAGTTATTCATCTGTTTTGTAATAACCTTCAAACACTCTCCCGGAGAAACAACGACAAACAACTGAATCCAAGCTGGCGTTGCCCAAACCTATATAGATGATTGAGCAGGAACCTGGGAAGCTCTGGTTGTAGTGGTTCTGCGCATGAATGCGAAAACACTTGTTGCCACACATCACCCAAAATTATCCGACTGTGAAATGAAGTGGTCCCAAGCACAGGACCTTCCCGAAAGGTCTGGGTATGTTGTTGGTCATGGTTGTGCTGGTCGCCTGGTATCAAACCCTGCTTTTGCTATGTTTCTTCTCAAGTGCTACTTTTCCCCCTATCAACTCAACGCAAGTGGGGGGTGGGGGGGGGATGATTACGTTCGTCCCTGCGGTTCTTTTCGCGGCTCGCTGGGGATTTCCGGCTGACCCTGGCCCAGTTGAGTCATGGGAAGATGTACAGTTCAGTGGCTTGTTGAATTGCGTCAGCAAACGTGGTGTTTCTGGCATTTATTCTGATGGTGCATTGTGTTGGCCAAGGGGAGCTTGCATCCTGAAAGTCATCAGGTGAGCCACCAACGAAAATGATTATGTAGAGACGGAGATGATGTCAGAAGTTCCAAGATTTACGGAACTCAACCGATTGATCGTGAATTGCAGTCATTGAAAGCTTTCTTGCCTCCGCAGTTCCACTGTGTGACAATAATTCGCATGTTAATGTTCACTTACCAATTGGTGTGGAGAAGAAGTTTGGGAACTGCTGCTTCGCCTAATGCTTTGTTGGGGGCATTGGAGAAATTGTTGCGCAGTGAGCCGAACAAAGTAGTTTTACATGTTGAGGCCTGCCACTCGGCGAGCGAAATGAGCAAAAACCCAACATTGTTGACAGTGACGGCTCCGAAAACACCAGGCGACTAGCGCAACCGTGACCATGTTGTTGGGAGACATTTGACCCCCAAAGTCTCGTTTTTACCCCTCCTCAAACATTAGGAAACGATACAAAACAAACCTTTAACCCCCTGCGTTGCAAGGGCCCCTACCCGCCAACCTTGCAAGGGCACCCAAATGGATCCGGGTTTGCCGGCTCGTTTGAGATGCCTCTCTCTGCTCCATATCGTGCCATGCAGTCACCCTTTGGATCTGGATGCCTACATTGCTGCTTCTGAAAACAGTTTTCCCATTTTGAACTAACCAACAGGGGGTTCCCCAACAAGGACGACATGGGGCGACGCTCTCTTTTGTGTGGGAGCGAGCCCACTTTTGGTGAAAAGGCAACTAAAAGGAATGCCAGTTGCCGGGACCGATGTGCATTTTGAGAACCCATGCCGATGCGCGACGCCCTGGGCTCGCCCGCTTTAGGGGCGGGCCAGAAACCCGATACGAACCACCTACAGAAATGGCCAAGATGGGATCTCCGGGCCTGCTCAATTTTTCCGCCCTCGGAAACGGACAACATGAACTCGAACGGATCACCCCCAACCCCAAGAAGGGAATTCTGACCACTTCGCTTGACCGAACTTAGGCCGAAACTGACACGTTTCTTCAATAGACCCTTTTGGGTTCTCTGGCGTTTTCCCTTGTAAACAGCAGACAGTCAACTTTTGGTTTCAGTCAGTGTTTGCATCAAGACTAGTTATCTCACCCTGGACAGCGCCCGGCGTACCTTCTCACCCTGCCCCCACCCTCCGACCCTAAGCCGCGGCACTCAGGAGCAGCAACCTCAGGCGAAAGCAGCTAGGTCGCATGCCCGCCTTGTTTCCGGCGACTCGTGAGGAACAATGAGGCCTGGGGCCAGAAATTCTGAGACAAGAATGCTCATGAGAGGGTTTTCAGGTTACACCTTCTTTTTAACCCCACCCCCTCCCCCCATTTTGAAACAAACCCATGAATAGTCGCTGAGTCCATGTAGGTGCGGTCCCTTGTTTCGAGGTTCGAGGCTCGGAAATTGTTGGGGCCGCCAAGGGAAATCAGGAACATGTCAAAAGTGGCGATTGCAGAAACCTGCATGTGTTTCTGAGGTCCTTTCAAAGGGATTACAATTCATGGGCCCCGGACCCCAACCGGTTTGGGCCCGTAAACCAAAGGCTAAACAGGTCCAACAACTTGGATCAACTTTATCCCAAAAGATCCATGTGGGTTTCACCCTGACGCCGACACTTCAACAGGTTGCACTCGGACCATTTGGGTATGGATCAGCACCCTGATCTGCAAACATGACCCCCTCTTTAGGCTTAAAGAAGCCTCGGTCCCAAAGAACCAACGCATATCCATGGTCTCCCTTCCGTGAAAACCAGGTGTTCAGTTTGTTCCGAGTTGCGAAGAAATTCCCCATGTGGATTTCCAGCGGACCCCAGCGATCCAGCGAACCCCCCCCAATGCCTTTCTCGCCCTTGTTCTCAGAAAAGGGCAAGAACCTTCCACTTTAGTCGGGAGTTGGGCTCACCCCTTGTTTAACATATGACAATCATTTGGCAGAAATCCATGGGGGGGGCCTAGTATTTAAGTGCTCCTTGAACTCGCCCACATGTGTGTCTTTGTTTTTGTTGTTTGTGTGCGTGGGAGTGCGCGTGTGTGTGTCTGTGTCTGTGTCTCTGTCTGTCTGTCTGTGTCTCTGTCTGTCTGTCTGTGTCTGTGTCTGTCTGTCTGTCTGTCTGCCTGCCTGTCTGTCTGTCTGTCTTTCTGTCTGTCTGTCTGTCTCTGTCTGTCTCTGTCTGTCTCTGTCTCTGTCTGTCTCTGTCTGTCTCTGTCTCTGTCTCTGTCTGTCTCTGTCTGTCTCTGTCTGTCTCTGTCTGTCTCTGTCTCTGTCTCTGTCTCTGTCTCTGTCTCTGTCTCTGTCTCTGTCTCTGTCTCTGTCTCTGTCTCTGTCTCTGTCTCTGTCTCTGTCTCTGTCTCTGTCTCTGTCTCTGTCTCTGTCTGTCTGTCTGTCTGTGTTGTAGGGGCGCCTCCAAAGTAGGTGTTTGGTTTCTCTTTGCGCCGCCCCCTTTAAACTACAATGGACGCGCCTCAACATACGAATCGGAACCGGAAACAACTTGATAGTTTCCCCGTTGGTTTCCCTTGACATAAACCCACAAATGGTACTTACTCTCGTAATGGAGACGCACCCATATGGGTGTGGGTCAAAAAAAGGTACCCAAAATGGATCCCTGGTAAGTGGAAACATGGACTAAAACCTGCGGTCCCCTGGAGATTTAATTTTGACCCATACCCATATGAACCAAAAAGGCCCGTCTTTTGGTCGACTCGTTTTGGTCGCGCCGCCCATTTTGAGGGCTCCACCGTTGCGCGCCGGCGCGGATTGGACAGCTTCCACCTGGCGGGGGAGGGGAGGGGGGGGGGTGGTTGCAGTTGGAGCGGCCTGGGTTTGAAACATGGTTCCACCAAACCACCCAAATTTGGTTCTCTAAATGCTGGATGGTTCTCCATGAACCCATTTGGAGATTCTCAAAATGTTGGATGGTTCTCAATGAAATCTGTGTGGGACATGCCAAACAATGAGCTTCAGGAGCTCATAGCTGCTGAACATCTGCACAACCAGCATACTGCGTGAATGGGCCCCGGAATTCCTTGCTTCACTGCAAGTACCCTTAGACAAAACCTATATCGGATTGATAGGGGGGTTTTGGCCTCAACAATCAAGACAGGGTGTACTCAGCTCCCCTCCCAACTGGCTGGTTTTTTGGCTTGGACATTAGGGGCTACTACCTTCCCCATTTGGTTTCAAAAGGAACCGGGGGAATCCCAAACCAGAACCAGCGGGAGGAAGCTGGGCTACAATGACCGGTGAGATCTTGCTCAAAGACCCCCGACTCGATGGGTGTGTCTCACAATGAGGGTTCCCCTTGATTCGCACTCTAAAACCAACCAACTAAAAAAGTTCCCTGTCCCTCCCGTGTGGCCACGCGAATAACACACAAAGCACTTCTTGTTTGTACTTGACTTGAAGAAGCCCCCCTTCCAACAAAAAGGGAAACACAATATTGGAGTTCCTGAAAGTGACATCCTCAAATTACCCCCAACTTTCGCGCTGTTTAAAGGGAAGCACCCACAAAAAGTGATGAGACCTCCCTCACCATGTAGCTACTCCAAGAGGACCCAGAAAATGGGACTTTACATGGATTTCAAGCAAACCACTCCCTTCCCTCCAAATATCACCACTTTCAGTGAAGACTAGCGACCACATCATCGTCATCATGAATTCTTCTTTGACAGTCAGGACACATCAAGAAACTGCCGAGCAATCGGGTGGTGCCTGTAAGAAATTCCAATGGGACACATCAAATGGACAAACTCCATTGGAAGACTTCCGATGTCGATGGGCGACACCTTCCGCCTGAGGCATCCACCACACTGACGAGCAGCTCCATGTCTCGGCCACCAAGCCCGGTGACTCGCCAAAGGCAAGTCCAGGACATCCGTCGAGCTCCAGTCAGCCACCAGCTCATCATTTTCTCGGTGACTTCGCCAGGGATCAAATTCCGCAGCTCGACGACCCCACGGCCTTGCGCCCTTTCACTCCATCTCAGTACCTTCAAACACCAGCAGTTCTCTGCAAATTCACATGGAGCTTGAACAAAGAGGCCCCGCTTTTTGTCAGATTCCTCTGGGCGGTGTTCAACTGGTTCCATGTTAATCAGAGTCACTCGATTCGCTTCCGTGGATTGGCCAGAAGAAGTCTGAACTTCTTGTCTACAACCAAAATGTGGACCCCCAAATGGGGCTGGGGGGGGGGGGGCTATCTGTGGATAAGCCTAAGACAAGCCAAGGATAACTGGCCTCGTTATTTGACCGCGAGCAAAGTCACCCTCGAAGTGGTGGGTTAAAGGCAAACAACCAGATTCTCTGACTTTGATAACCCCCCAAAAACAGTCAACACAGGATCCCAAAACGTAGAAAATCCGAAACAGACCTTCGGAACAACGAACCTTCGCGAGCCGGGCTGAAAGTCACCCGCCTGAATCGTTGGCTGGTTCGCCCGGAAGGAATCCCCGTCGGTGACCTGCCGAGAGCCTCAGCAACCCACCGCTAGAAACCCCAAGAAGGCGCGATGGGGTACGCCAGAAACGTGATCTGAGACCATATTTTGGGAGTGGAATCTGTCTGCAAGAAATAAAGCCTACAATCCTCTTCAGTTTGCTTGTAGAATGAGCAACTATGGGCTATTTAGCAGCCATAGAGGCAACCAGCCGGTGGACCCCCTTTGATAGTCAAAGGGAAACCAACAGGACACCGACCTGTGGACATCCCTATTTTGCGAAACAGCCAGCTCTTCCCCAACACAAAGCTACCAGGCGAGATCGCCTCAGCCTTTCTCCCCTCAATGATACATCTAGATCCTGGTCCGAACCTTCGGAAGGACAAACGAGATAAGACCATCCCCAAGGCCAAAAGGGGCAAACACAGGCTGAAGAAGACCAAGGCCTTGCGCGACGCGAGGCTTGCACGGATTTACCTTTCACCGATGACTCGATGACCCCTCCAAGGGGGGTTTCTGTGTGAATACACAAGGTCCAACTTTGTTTGAACGAAACCAAACCGTGGCTGATTCCCATCCCTATAGGCTTGGACAAAATCTGTTGTGGGCATGGTGGCACATGATACCCAGATAATGTTTTTTCATCCGCACTGCAGTCATCAATCTTAAACAAGGACTGCAAGTGGCCGCCCAGGTCGTTGATTCAGGATCCTGGGATTGAACATGGTTTCGCCTTCGTCTGCATGGGTGACCCAGACCATGCCATCCCCACTCCCACTGGTGCTCCCCACCTTGCAGAAATGCCCCTTGTACCCACATGCCTTTATGACGTCTCACGGGTACCCCCCTTCCGCATGCACCTCTCAAAAAAAGGCTAACACCAAGTGCAGCATCCGAAGGTGAAACAAAAACTTGGCTCGCGGCTCATGAGCGTGTAAATCTCTGAGAGGAGCCTGCGATGCGATGTTGAGCTCGCAACCCACTTCAGCTGCAACCGAATCATTCGCACCCAGATCTCCCTTGAAACTGGCGAAATCAAGTTGCATGTGCCGCGGACACGCCTTTGAAGTAGTAAAACGTACTGAAAGAGCACCCAACTCCGCAAGTAATGCATGCACAAATGAAGATGGAACATATGATTCCGTCCCGACGCTTGACTTCTACCTTCTAGCAACCTGAACACCACTGGGTTCTACATGAGGCGCCTGGAAAAAGATTCATAGAACGGCCCATCCCCATCACTCAACGATCTCCTAAACCAGTCCCTCCAAATGATCGCTTCCATGTGTCAGGAACAGTGCAACCTTGGCCTCAGCCACCATCAGACTTCACCATTCGATTCTCAGGTCGTGTTTTTTCCTTGTTCCCCACTGAAAGGCGAAACATGATTCAACATCCACTTCAAATGTGTTTTTTTCAGAATGGATCCCAGGATTGATCGGGGCAATTTTCATCCGAAGTGCTTGGGCTGCCTCAAAATTTCACCGAAAACTCGTCATGAACCCCGCCAATGTGTTTGACATCTTCCCAAAAGCTCCATGTAGGTAATGCGTGCCTACATTTTCCCAGCAATTGCCACTCACTAAGATTCTCCGATTGTGGCTCATACCACGTTCATGAAGCCTCAGGGCTTTGTTGGACGGCCCACAAACCAGAAAGAACAACACAAGAACAACACAAGAACAACACGGTTCTAATTTGTTTGGCTCCCTTCAAAGTAGTCTTCCCAGGATCGCGCGCATAACAAAATGGACATCGAAGCATTTTGACTTGGAGCCTTAGCAGTTGATCCCTTCTCCGTTCTTTCCAACCACTCGCATTGTTGATCCGCCGAAGGAACAGTCAATTGCATTCGGCGAATGGACAAAAAAGAGCCTGGTCCTAGTTGCACGTCGTGGAAAATGCTTTCGGGCCACCCGTCTTCTAGGTTTTTTTGCTTATCAGAAAACCACAAGCCCTTGAAATAGGGGAACCCCAAAAAAGAGGCCTTCGCGGTCGTGTTACCCCCAGAACTCGCCAAAGCCAGCGCCATCGTTCCTTGCAGCGTTTCCTCCCACAGATTCGGAGAGTTGGTTGGAGCCCGCATATCCAGACCTAATTACTGTGGATGGACGACATCCATTTCGCACCACATAAGAAACCGTGGGAAACCGTGGTTTGTCGGTATCTACATGGAGATCGAATCCTTCCAGTGTTTCTTTGGTGGTGCGAAATTGATTTCGTCCATCCACAGTATGCGTGGTTTACCGAAAAGCGAAAGTGGCATCCTCACTTAACAGCCCAGCCCCCTCCAATCCAAGAAGGGCTCTTGGAACCTTCCTATAGAAGGGGTTCTTAAAAGGGTTCTGAGAGCAATTCCGGTGGGTAGGCAGGCCCGAATGAGGTCGAGGACAACCAAGAAAAACCACTTGGTGTAGTTTCCGTCATCCGAAGGATTCAGATCTTTGAAGTCTGACTGGTCGGAAATTACCCCTAGACATGTCAGGGTGTTTTTGTTTCAGATTCCGCTTTGTGGAATAACTGTCAAATGGAAGCCAAACGCACACACACACACAACAGTTTTGGGGCACTTACTCCAAGAACAAGCCAAGCTAAAGCTGAAGCACTTTTCAGCGCAGCTCGCGCTGAAGCTCCCGAGCGAGCCTCATGAAGGCAGTCTCCACATTGGTGGCTTCGAGCGCAGATGTCTGGCGACGGAGTGATTTTGGTATGAACTCAAAACGCTAGTTGGCTGCCAAAACTTGCTCCTGGCACTTTTTCCCAGGCAAGTTGGGGCCCTTGTCGGATGGTTTTAATGGGAAACTAAAAGAAACCCCCCTACCGGACATTGGTCCCCGATTCTGAGACACTTGCTCCTGGAACCACAAAGCCTTCAGAACAGCACGTCACTCCTGAAGCCAACAGAACTGCTCACCCAAACCGCCCTTCATGTTTGAGAAACCTGGATTTTGACAACTGACCAGTTTCGACGAAAGAACATGGCATAGCCAGTTGAAACCTGAAGAGCAATGCTGTTCATTGCTTCGAAGGCAACCACGAAAGGCCTCCAGAAACCAGCAACATCATTACCCAGCTGCTGCTCTCAAGCAAACAGTTTACTTTTAGATCACGGTCCATATCTTGCTTGCAGCAAACTTGAACATCATTATTAAAGACATTCCGGGGCTCCATTTCGGATGGGCAAATTCACAATGATTCCCAAACCGGGAACAAGGGGCCCCCAGCAAGGGCTTGACTTCAGCTTGGTGCATTTTTTCCCCAAGGCCCACGCCTCAATGCAGGCGAGGCCATGCTTCTCTGCAAAGGCCAGTGCCTCATCTTGCCTTGCTTGGTTGACATTGGAAGGGGAGCAAACATTCAAATTTTAGCAGTTAAGTGGGGATTTGCCACTAAACCACAACAAGCAAAAATGTAAAATGTTTCCCAACAACAACCATGCTTGGGTAACAAACAAATATCCTATCACATTCCCACATAAATTGCCCCTTCTGTGGCCCCAAGCTAAAAGGCGTCTAGGGCAGTTGAACAAAAACTGGGCTTGAGAAAAAGGGTCCACAAGCTGGTCTCCATGGCGGTGATTTGGTCCAAGGATGTGACAACCAACAACATGGAAGTTGGAAGGGTTTGGAGCAGTCTACTTTCGCTTTGGGGAAGCCCCCTGTCCACTTCCATGACTGTTCTGCACTATCTTCAATAAATCCAAGACCGGAAATCAGAATTCAAATCCCAAGGACCCTACATGTGCGCTCGTTTTGAGACTCGCTCGCCAAAAACGAGCGAAGGTTCTTGGAAAGAGGGCATTTCAAGAAACAATCACCAATGCGAGGCACTTGGACCCTGTGGGCTCAAGGCTGAATGTGCAATTGATCAAGGAGGATATCAAGCTTTGTTCTGGTAATTAGTAGACTGCAATGGTTCCCAAGGGCCCCCGAATAGGGGCCCCCATCCCAATAGGGGATTATAGCGACTAGTAGGGTGTATTTGAGGCCAAAAAGGGGTTCCTTTTGAGGACCTTTTCCAGGGGGTTCCCTCTTTGTGGAGCCCCTGACAACCATAGGATATAAGAGGCAACTAACTACACACTGTATTATCCTATGATATCCTATGACTCAATCTGGCGTTCAAGCCCCACACGACCCCATTCAAATGGTAGGCCCTATACAGTACTCTGTGGAGACGACTCAACAAACAGAGCAGCGCCAAAAACTCATTGACTATCATTGACTCTTGTTTGTGCTAAGATGCTTCTACTGTGGATGGCCAACATCCTGCACAGGTTGGGATGGATGAACCACCCCAAAATGGGGATAAACCACCTATTTACGAATTGGTTCGAAGTGGATTTTGTCCATCCACGATAATATCCTATTGAGCAATCGGCAACTGGGGGTGTAGGGTACTGCATTCCTGGCAACTCCGAGCACTTGAGATGCTGGCCCGACAGCCCGAAGATGACGAAGGTCCCTGGGCGAGATGGAAATGGCTGGCCAATGACTGGCCATAAACAAGAAGGTGGCCCCCCAAACAGTTAGGCACCTGTTGTGCTAATGAACCAAAAAATGATGAATCCTACGTGAGCACTCTGTGTCAAACGGCTTATGTCACAGTTGGACCCGCGATTGCTGAGCTGGTGAAAAAAGATGCCCAGTGCATAGCAAGAAAACCCCTCCCCCCCCCCCCAAGGAAGGGCTCTTAGAAGCCTCTGAGGGGCTCGTGCTGCGAACCTCTGGAAGGCTGAGTTTCTCCTCTGAATGGATGGGGCTGTCAAAACCGGACCGTTTTGGACGGGTTCAACCAATGTAGGCCTAGCTCGGTTGCTTTCTGCTCCCCTGCTAAAAGTTTAACTTTTAGTGGTTTAATGGAAAACCCATTAGTTGGCAAAAAGTTAAAGTCCTAACATCCAAGCACAATGCACCAAAGCTAGTCTGGAGTCTGGATGGGCTCTGGTTGATTCATTTCGCACAGTGGAGGATGGATGACTCACTTCCTGAGTGGATTGGTCAAGTCCAAACTTTTTGCTTACCACCAAAATGGTATTCCCAAAAAGTATAAAGTCCGCGAACGCAGGAAGTAAGATTAGCAACTGACTGGTTGTTTCTTTAGGGGGGCGTTCCATGGAAAAAGCAACATTTCCTGGGCATTGAGGAAACACCCACCATGAATCGACTGGTAGATGATGAGTCCTCCTTGTAGATGATGAGTCCTCCTTCCCAAACCACCAGCCATTCCATGCCATGCCGTACTGGCACAATCATCTGGGTTGATTCGCGGTAGAAACAAACGTCCCTTGGCAAAGGAAAGAAACATTTGCGACGCAAATGAAAAGGGTTCTAGGAAGCTAAGCTTCGACTTCTTCCCAAGGTCTCAGCGACACCAGTCATGAAAGGTGCAGAAACAAACGCACATGCTGAATATCCACTTAGTGGACAAGCATTGATCTCCTGAAGACAACTTGCTTCAAACTTTGCTCATTCGCAGCACATTTCGATTTATGGCCAAATAGAATAGAGGGAACGCCGCCGTTAAATATCATGGCACAGGAGTTTGTATTTCCCGCCCAAAGATTGCATGATGAAACGCGGCACCCTTTAAACGTGTGCCTTTTGCAGGGCACGCCCCCACAAATTGTGGTTCTCCTCTTGGTTTCCCTTCAACACCGCCAACAAACGGGTACCCTCGAAACAAGACACAGCCAAATCGGCTAGGAATGAGCTACTGGCTTGGCCGGGTCCGACCTATCAGCTTGTAATGTGCTTTCCTGAACCAGTTCAAATCCTCAATCCGAACCACTCAAGGCCTATGCACGCAGAACCTGCACTGGGGGCTTCTCGTGGTTTGGACCAGGTTGCTTTTTGATTGGGACCATTTCTCTGGTGGGTTGCATGTTAGTAGACAGGTTGCTGAACCTCTCTGGGCAGCCACGCCCCTTGTTTCCCACCAGCATGATGACCTGGGAATCGTGGGACTGATTTTCAGAGCAGGGACCCCCAGGGAGAAAGGGAAACCAACTAGATATCTAGGTTAACTGTACTTTGCTATTTGATTAAAAAAAACACACACAAACTCCCGCATCCCTCCTTTGATTTGAGCGGATTGGCCCAAACAAGTCCGACCAAAAGTTAAACATGGCCTTCTCAAACAGTGACTAACGGCCAACAACTGAGGAAGTGAGCAACTGTTTTTGCTTCAAATTCCGAGCACTGTCCAAGCTTGCCTGGCCTCACATGCTGACCTTCTCCAACAAGTATCTGCAGATTCTTCAATAAATCAACCATGAGCTCGTTTGACCCCCCCGCATCGGTGGAGTCGCTCAAAACCCAACAAGTGCATAGAAGTAATTAAGGTGGATGCCCTAGAAGCAAGGTGGATGCCCTAAATATTGCAAGTATACAAACAAGGGGAAACTCATAATTTATGGCTGGTGGATGTGCTTGGTTTTTTTACTTCAAAATTTAGGGTATAAAGTCAAAAGAACCTGGGAAGTGAGGGCTTGCCACAGGCAAATTGGCTCTTGGTGCTGGCCTTTTCGGTTGAACGATTGCCCTTTAGATCTATGACAGGGTCAAGGAGGAAGTCCTCCCTGTTGAGTTCAGACCTTTCTGCAAACTAATTTTTGACCCCAGAAAAAGAAGGCTCCCCAAAATGAGGTTCCCAAAAATGAGGTTCCTCACAAAATGTTGGGCGGTCCTCACACCATTTTAGGCGGTACTCACAAAATGACAGGCGGAGATATCCGCACCTGTTTTTGGTTGGGACCGTCCAATACTAGTTTTGGTTGCCGCTCACATCAAACACACAGCACACCCACAAACAAAAAACATAAAACACCCGCACCGACGCGCACACACACACACAACACACACAAACCAGCACGCACACACACACAGAAAAGAGAAAAAAAAGAAGAAACAAACCCCTGAATGAACTCACAAAACAAACAAACACACAAACCAACAAACCAACAAACAAACAAGCAAACAAGCAAACAAGCAAACAAGCAAGCAAGCAAGAAAGCAAACAAACAACCAAACAAGAAAGTAAGTACACAAACAACACACACACACACACCAAAGAAAAAGCACACACACACACACCAGACAGACAGACAGACAGACAGACAGACAGACAGACAGACAGACAGACAGACAGACAGACAGACAGACAGACCGACAGACCGACAGACCGACAGACCGACAGACCGACAGACCGACAGACCGACAGACCGACAGACCGACAGACCGACAGACCGACAGACCGACAGACCGACAGACCGACAGACCGACAGACCGACAGACAGCCAGACAGACAGACAGACAGCCAGCCAGGCAGGCAGGCAGGCAGACAGACAGAAAGACAGACAGACAGAAAGACAGACGCACGCACGCAAACAAGCACTTTGTTAGTTTTTCTTGGTATTGAGTAGCGGGTGCGCAAAAGAGGCTACCCGCATTCGGTTCCTTCCGGGAGAAGTAACACATATGCGCTATCACAAATGGTTTACTCCTATAATCATGACTACAGCTGCTTTGAAATGCGACCCACAATCCCATTCTAGCCATTTAGGCCCCTGGCTTCTCCTAAGCCATCATCTCATAAGGGATCCGACATATGTCTGCAACGCACGCCACACCCATGTTCAGAAACAAATGCCTGAACCCCAAAGTGATGGCGTTGCCCTGAGCGGGGCATGTTTTGAAAATTTGGGCTTCCCTTTGGCTTCCCTTTGAAACCAACCCATTGGGGACACTCAAACAGGTACACCGAATGTATTGCTATCCACAATCCCGCCAAAAGCGTTCAGGCCGCAGTTGCTGGAATCCCACCGAAAGCGGTTAGCCGCACTTCTTGGCCTTCGTTGGCCTGAATAGGCCTACTTGGCCTCATGTTTCCTCATTTTTTTGGCCTGACAGCTTTTGAGCTACCAACTGCTGGCGTCGGGAATCAGGCCTCCCAATGCGCGGAAGAGACGTAGCGAACTTGACTGAGCGCGAGGCGATGTTGGGGTCCGCATGATCCCGAAGCTCCTGATGCATCCCATCCCATCACCCATGTGTGAAATAGGGGATCTGGGGATTAGATCAATTACCCCAGAAAACAACTGTCTGAAATTCTTAGGATATGTCAAAGAGAACGCCTTTTGGTGTTTGAGTCTACCCTTCAGACATCAAAATATGGCAGCCGGCAGCAAACAGGGCTGCCTCTCCAAATTCCAACTAACCTATCTCATGGGTTTCCGCTACCCCGAATCGGTGAGCTCGCCAACAAAGCGGCCCCCGCAAATCGCCGTTGAGCTGCATGCGAGATTCTGGGGCAGAAGTCCTTTAGCCATGTGGGTTGCATGCGTCAACGCCTTGGCTCCCTATTTCGGGCCTGGCAACATGGAAGCCCCGACCACATGACATGTTAGGATTCTGGTCCTCCAGTAGAGAGGTTAGAATAACGGAACCCACTTTTGTCCTTTATGTCTATTTTAGTAGGGGAACTCTCCCCAAAAAAAGGGGCGAGAAAGGGCACTACTGGGGGACCTAGTCCGTAATGCTTTCGTGTTCATGTGCAGAATCTCGAAATGCAACGTGAGGTCAAAAGATGCCCAGTTTTGGGGCTAGCTGCCCGAACATATGGCGCTTTGTTCAGCCAGCCGCTGGACCTGAAAAAAAGAACGCATGTCAACAACAGTGCAGGGACATGGGGCGTGGTATTCTTTTTATCTAGTCCAAAGGGAGAACATGGCGTTTGTTTATGGGGCCGTTGGTGACTTATGATTTACCCAGCCATTGGTGATGGCCCAATGAAAGCATTGTGCTAAGTACTAAGCCTCGTACGATTCGAGTTTCTTCCATGGCTAATACAGGGCGGCAAAGCCAAGAAATGATTTGCGGCAACAACTGGGGGGGGGAATTGCTGGAGTTTGTGGAGATTCTGCTTGAATGTTTGCTGCCAGTTCAAAGTAGTAAGTGGTCAGCCTCGTGGCTAAACCACTCCTAACTGATGGCAATGTAGGCGGACTTCAGCAATTCGGACCTACATGGATTGGGGGTAACTTGGGCGAGTTTTCAGCCCTTCCGTTTGTTCCAGAAATGGCCAACCCCGAATCGGCCACAGCGAAGGCCAATTTCGGAAAACCAAACGAAGCGCAACAAAGTCTTGGGGTTTCCACATGACGAAGACCCATATGGGTGGCTTTTACCCCTTTGTGGGTGGGTACCCCTTTGTGGGTTGGTACCCCTTTGTGGGTTTGTTTTAATGGGAAACCGAAAGACAATCACCATTGCGGAGGTCCCTTGAAAAAGACGCACCCATATTATACATTTATATACATGTATATATATATAGAGAGATATGTATAATATGTGAACACTTGGTAGAAGCGATAGTCAGTGGCTACTTAGTTGGTATGCCCAATGATGGTATGGCATGGTTTGCCGAAATGGGCGCTGTTTGCTTCACCTTGTCTTCGAACGCGAGCCTTTCAGACTGGAAGTCTAGTTTCCTCTAGGCACCCTCTTGGAAACTCTTGGTGGGTTCCAAAATGGTGCCTGGGAGGATAGTATGGGCAAATAGAATCAGATGCACAAAGCCACAAAGCTGACAGAAAACACCAAGAAAGGGACCTGCACGGATCAAAGATCTCCTTTTACTCGGGGAGCTCATGGGATCTCGTGGAACTTTGGCCAAAGCATTCACAAGTGACCAGTTTTCTTAAAAGTAAGGGCACAAATTAGAACATGGAAGTTGTGTTGTGCCCTCTAGGCATCCGCCCTCCCAGACATGTCAATTGACAATTCTGGAAAATATTGGCGCACACACACACACACACATGTAAGACACATTACAAACCAAACAGTATTTAAATTTACCAAAACAGTCATATACGACACATTTCAAACCAAAAAGGGGCATACAAATGACCAGTCTTCAAAACGCCTTCGCCAGCCAAATGCAAAATGATTGAGTAGTCCCAAATCGCTTCAGCTTGACCGCTTCAGTGGGCGACGTGTCGGAAGCTTCTGCCACGGGACGCGTTTCCTGGCAGAAACAAGGCTTGGGACCCCTTTGAGGGTCGATCCATTTTTTTGGCAGAAAAACACACACACACACACACACATTATCTGTGCATAGCTTTTTAGCTTCCTTTTGGCATGCTGGCATCCCTACAATTCAAGGAGCGACAGCAAAGGATTTCATGGGTTTCCACTGAACCGGATGGACTATTCAATAAAACAGTGCTTTGGTTTGGTTGGCCACCCACCAACAAAATCCTCAAAATAGAAGTCCACAAACCAATTTTGGATAATGTGCACTTTCGTCTGTGAAGGTGGGAGGGTGGTCTGGGGTGTACATTGGTTGGCACCCGTCGGCCCGTCCTGTAGCCAGCGCTCAAGGTTCTCAAAGGTGACCCTCTTGGAGATGTCATACCTAGAGCGCTCCAGGCCAGCGTCATCCACCAGCACCCCTTAAACAGCAGTGTTTTCCCATTGACCAAAACACCAAGTGATGAAGTATTGTGCAAAACTCAGATGTTGGAGGGTGGTGGTAGTTGCTTTCGTGGAAACAAAGCATGGGTTCCGCTGGTAAATATCTGCAACCAAACAAAAACCTGCGGAATTCACCGAGGTCATGCCCAACCAAACTGAAAGACACCATTGTAACTCACTTCGTGAGTAGGTGCGCCAAACACGTACTAAGCTCGGTGTTTTGCACTAAAACGGCGTTCCCCAAAAAGAAACAAGTCCACGAATTGAAATAGGAGCGCTTTTGGGACCGTGCTTAAAGACAAGTTTCACGATCCCAAGAAACGCCTGCACAAACCAACAACCAAATCTTAAGTGTTTCAGTTGGAAGCCTCTTGATGTGTGCGTTTGACACATACACGTCTTTTTGGCCCGGTTGTCATCCCATTTACCCAGAACGAGCAACCCAATAGCGGCGGCCTCGCAACTAAAGATCCAACCCAATAGCGATCAAGGTACATGGTGTATGCATGCATACGTGTATATGGCTCATAATGTGAGAGCATCAGGAAATGTGTAGTTTGGCGAGCACCTTGCAAGACATGTGCCAGAAATGGCTTTGCATGTGTGTGTGTGTGTCTTTGTGTGTGTGTGCTTGCGTATGTGTGTGTGTGTGCTTGTGTATTTGTGTGTGTGTGTGCTTGTGTATTTGTGTGTGTGTGTGGGCGTGTGTGTGTGTGTGTGTGTGTGTGTGTGTGTGTGTGTGTGTGTGTGTGTGTGTGTGTGTGTGTGTGTGTGTTTGTGTGTTTGTGTGTTTGTGTGCTTGGGTGTTTGTGAGCTTGTTTGCTTGTGTGTGTGTGTGTGCGTGTCTATCTTCGCCTCCAAGTCTCTGTCTCTGTCTCCGTAATTCGCTGTCTCTGCCTGTCTATCCGTCTGTCTGTGTGCACGCCAATGTGCCTCCTACTTCAGGGCCATGCTGGAGAAGGAACAGTCTCACGTTGGGCTTAAGGCGCCGCACAAAAAAATGCACCAGCGTAGACCCCAAACTTCATGGGAGATTCAAACAGCACCTTGACCAGCACCCTGACTGTATCGCCAAACAAGCACTGCCAGCAACCCGCACCACATCACGTTGAGTACACCAAACAGCAATCTAATCAGGGTGTTTTGGGGCCGTTTCCCTGTAGATGTTCCTGTAAGTTAACCCTTTGACACATCCATAACTCGCAAACCCAACATAAGATGAATCTCCGGACCTTCATGGAAATGGAACTCGGCAAAGCTGCAATACGAGTCACTAGTACACCAAGGTGACATCCTCAACCTCTGAAGCCTGGTTTAAAAGGCACATGCACCGCCACCAAAGAACACACATACTTTCTAGCATGTGTGCATTTCTCTAAGCTGTGGTTTGCAAGTAAATCAGGTCTCACAAGCAGTCCTGTCCTGATTTCGAGAAACCCTCAATATGCTTGCCCACGTTGTCGGCCCGACCAGTCAGCGGCATTGCTACCGGCAGGGAAGATCAGACCTCCAATTGGCCCAAGTCCCGTCCCTGGCCGAGCTGCACCAGCAAAGCTCCCACCGCACCTCTGTAGTACCTGGCGGGTAACCAGGCGAGTGAGATGTGAACTGCAGGCGGAAAGATCAAAACCCCATCCCTGGGGACCAACATGGATTTTACAGTGCTCAATTTTCTGAGTGGATTGGCCACGAAAAGTCTATGATTTTTTTTCAAAAAAAGTATCAAGTCCGTGAACTCCAGAAATGAGACAGGGTGTGTTTTGGCTTACGCTGTTTATTGCCAGCTGCTCTAGAATCAGCACCCTTGCGGCTGCGTGGCGGCGTGCCCACTCCGCCTCTTTGCTGGCTTCACCTCAACAGTCAATTTTCAGGAATGTCATCCTCCAAGTTCCGCGGCTGGTCCATGTGTGCTCGCTGGGGTCATATCTCGGTCGATGCGCTGTTTTTTGGTCACTGAATATCCTCCAAAATGGGGTTGCTTTCCAGTTGCTTTCCCTCGAAGCACTGCACAAAAACGGGGCCCAATCAAACGAGCAACACCCAATTGTGACTCATATGAACTGGGTTGGTTTGTCAAATGGTTGGTACATAGAGTACGTAGCGCAACCACAAGTTGATAGGGTCAACATTTTCATAGAGCGTCTCACAAATTGCGCATGTTACGAGTGCCCTGCATTCTGTTGGGGACATCCGAACACTTGTGGGATTCCGTTTGGGCAAACAAGGATCAGAAAAAACAACATCCTGCTTGCAAATTACTCGCTGATAGAGAAACCATTTCTCCAATCCACACTGCGGCGGTTTCTCAAAATAGGGGTCCCACAAAATGATTGGTTTCCTTTCGGTCTCCCTTCAAGTAGCAACAAAAAGAGAAATCAACCATTTTGAGAAACTCCCACATCCGCATCCGAAAACCATTCTCAACCCCACCTATCCATCTCCAGACCTCAGGTGAAAACTGTTGAACAAAAATGGCATGACAATGTTCAAACAAACTAACCTAAAAAGGACACCTATGCTCCAAACGTTACAAACAACATCCCGCCCTAAGAACCAGACAAAAGACCAGTGCCAACGATTTTCAAACAAACTGACCTAAAAAGGCTCCACGCTCAAGTCGCTCCAACCCACATTTCGGCCGCAACGCCCCCAAGCCGCGAGCCACGACTCGGAACTCGGCTCTCGGCGCACGCGCTGGTGATGGCCCTGTACCGCTCCTGGCCGGCCGTGTCCCAGATCTGTGCCTTGATCACCTGGCGTAGCTAGCGTGCAGAGGGTTTTGAGGTTGAAACGCCCAAAAATGAGATCCTCTCAGATGCCCTGCGGAAATTTCCGCCGGATTTCCAGAGGAGAAAAAGGATCGGCATCCGTTTTTGGTTGGTTGAGTTTCAAGGGGAACCCTTCCGAAAAAACAAGGCAAAAACGGGCCCCACTGGGCCACTGGGGCTAATTTGGCGCCACAGGGGATCCATAGCAATTCCCAATAATTTGCTTGATTTCTGATGGACCTCTGCGTCAGAAGAGGCGGATCTCACGATGCCGGCGCTGACAGAACACGCTGAAGCGGGGCACACGGCGCACGGAAGTCTGAGAAAGCTTGGCCTGCTCAATCACCGCGCTCACCCGCGAACGTGGGGGATTCGGCGGCCAGGGCATCACCCCGTGCAGCAGACAGCCGTCAAAGTGCACCAGCCGCCCCGGGCGTGGCCGCACCCTTCGCAGCACCGTTTCTGGCGGCTCCCGGCCACGGTGCACACGATCTGCGGAGGCGTCCAAATCCAACAGAACCAGCTCCCCCTGGTCTCCCTCCAAGTACATCACTGACACCAAATCGCTAGGCCTTGTGAAGCCACAGTACGTCTCAAAAAAGTCATCGGTGTGGTAGCGCTGTCCGTCCGGGCGCGCATAGAGCAGCGTCAGGTAATAACAATTGAAAACAGGCCACAGTGCGGCTTTGAAGAGAGGCTTCAGGCAAGGCAGGTGCTCTTCCACCTGTGCCCGAAAGGGCGCGCGAAAGACCAAGGAAAAGCCCCTGGTGCCGTGGTAGAAGTCATGGCCGCTGCGGTTTTTGCCGAAGTAGGCACTGCCCTGGACGCCTTCCAGCAGTTCCTGCACCTCTGCAGCCGTCAGTGCGCCTTCCAGCACCTGCACCTTCTGTGGCAGCAGGCGCTGTGCCAACTTCCGCGAGGCCATGGCGAACAAGGCCCCCCGCGGCTGCTTGCTTGACGAGCAGCCGAATACCTCCTAGGTCCTCCAGCTTTGAGAGGTTAGAATAAGGGTACCCGATTTTTGTTCAGGACGTCTATTTTAGTAGGGGAAGCCTCCCCCAAAGAAGGGTAAAAGGGCACTACTAGGGGACCTAGCCTCTCATCATTGATGACTTGGTGCATCTAGGCACACACCGACCAACATGAGCGGTGGACCAAGACATACTCGAAATGCACTTGCCAACATGTGCGCAGCAGGCTAAAAACGGCACGTGGGCATAACAAGAAACATGAGAGGGGATCATACCAAACAACATGAGTCGTTACAAAGACATACACCAGATGCACTTGCCAACCAACATGGACACTTCCCAAGACATCTCCAGAACGACATTCTCAAACTAGTGGTTATGATCGATGTATGCTAGGACGTACCTACCATAGTGGCTACAAAAACAAACAATATCATTGAGTGCTTTCTAGGGCTGTTCACCTTTTCGTCCTGGTGTTAAACGGAAACCAACATGCACTTCTGTTTCGTTTCTTCCTTCTTCTTTTTTTTAGGGGGGCATTTTGACACATACCCATTGTGAGCACGCCTTTCTGGACGGGTGCCAATGTTGGGTTGTTTTCAAGGAAGCAAACAAACGGCAATGGACACTAACAATTTCGGGTTTCTCAGCTTGAAGACATCCCATATGGGTGGTTGGCTTCCTTTAGCCAACATGGGTACCGAGCCTCAAGAACCCGCACCCCCCACACGTGCCATGGTCAAAACTCTTCATGTGGGTCAGGGTTCCCTACAAAAAGTATTCCTTGTGATTGTCTAAAAGCTGTTAAAAGGGTCCAGGACCATCCCCACCCCTAAAAAAACAATGACCCGGGTCATTACCTGATGCTCTGCATCACCGTTTCAACCATAGGTGTCCTTTTAGGGCAACTAGATGGCCCTGGTAGATGACTAAACCACCAGGTGAACCAGGGAAACCCATCCGTTCTTCCAAAACAACCCAACAAGGAGATCGATGGTTTCAACGCCCCGCCCGTTGAACGCAACCGCCCCGCCCGCGTTGAACGGTGAGCCCCCGCTCCGCGAGCTCCGTCTTACGAGCGGGCGCGCGGCGCCTTGCCGTTGGTGGTGATGCTCTTGGTGGCGAACTCCACGCCGATGGTGGACTTGGACTCCAGGTTGAACTCATCCCGAGTGAACCTCCCGAGCGGAGCGGAGCAGCGGAGCTCAGTCAGAATCAAGACCCAGGGGGTAGTAACATGCGGACCAGAACCGATCGGTAGTAAAATGGCTGAGTCAGAATCAAAACCAATAGGTAGTAACATGCGGATCAGAACCGTTGGGGTGGTAAAATGGTCAATCCCCAGAACCATGTGAAGAATGAAGAAGGCGCATATCTGCACTCATTTGTTGTTTGGACTGCCCCTTGGCCCTCATCTACCCGGGTTTTGATTGTGGCACAGCTTTGGGTTTCTGCGGTCAGCTCGTTAGGGGGTTCGACTGGAAACCTGTTCTGGTGTCTCACGTCGCGCCTGTTTCAGGGTCCTTCCGGGAAGTTCCAACCAAGACGGGCCTATGTCTTAAAGCCAACATGGGGAGTCGAGGCTCTCCATTGGAGAAACAGCCTTTGTACCTAGCCGACAGCTTCAGGGTCCCTGCCAACCCCAACCATAAGACCATATTTGGCCTTTGCACGGAGGTCCCCTAAAATAGGTGGCAATTCTTCTAAGACCCATGGCTGTTAAGGTTCCATGTTCATCTGGTACGGATATGTAAAAGAGCCTCTCCAGAAAAACAGAAGCCGTCGGGAACTTGAGGAGCTACGGTTTTAGTAGGCGATGCGAGGCGATGCGATTCCAGCAGGTTGCAGCATGAGACTCGACCAGAAATGAACCGATACTCTCAACAGTGGTGACACCTTTCCAGACCTATCCAAACAGCATTGCCGGGGGCCCGCCCTTCTCTCATGCCCACGGCTGCTTGCTCGCTCGCCGCCCTTTTCTTTCTCCCTGCGAAGGTTCGTAGATGCTGGCCACTGCTTTCAAATGACCCCCACTTAGTGAGGGTGTGAGGAACTACAGTGTTATAGTGCTATAGAAACTGGTTTTCTGACTCTGAACTCATCTATAGTCATAGTTGCGAGGCAGCGAGGTCGTCCATTCAGTTGAACCATTGACCATTCATAAGCTTGAACCCGCAGAGTTGAGCAGGTGATCATTTCTGCTTTCTCTCTCTCTCTCTCGCTCCAAAATGTGTGGAATGCCGCACTGCTTAGGTGCGAAGAATCTTCTCCATGGCCCTCCCCTTCGCAAGCTCGTCGATGAGCTTGTCAAGGTACTTGACCTCACGCATCGTCGGGTCCGTGACGGCCTGCACCTGCACCCCACAGACGGACCCGGTGATGAGGGACCGTTTCGGGTTCAGCTTGGCCTTGGCAAAGAAGGTTTCGATGTCTGTCGCCTTGTCCAGCTTGGCTTTCAGAATTTTGGGGGTATACCCGGTCAGCCACTGGATGATCTTGTCCACCTCACCTTTGCTGCGGCCTTTCTTCTCAGCCTTGGCGATGTAGAGTGGATAGACCTTGGCAAAGTGCATTGCACAGATCGGATGCTTCTTGGCTCCCTTCTGTGTCTTCTTGGCTCCTTTCAGTGTTTTCTTGGTTCCCTTCGGTCTGGTCACCGTCTCCTTCTTCGCCATGCTCTTCTGCGGCGTCTTCTTGGGCCTTGAGGCCGTCTTCGCCATGACTCGCTTGTTGCAGGGGAGCCTTGAGCTGAAACTGCAGGCACAGGGAAAACTAAAAATGCTTGACACTGAAGGACATCTGACCAATTGGTTTTTGTACACAGCTGACCGTCTTCATAGACGGTGGCAGCGAAGTGCCAAACAAAAAGAGAAAGGGACATCTGACCAAAGCCAAAGTTCTGTGAGGAACCATTGGGAGAGGTGATCGCCAAGTTCATACCCCAGGTGTTCTCGACTCGCGAAAAAAGCGAGACATATTGCTGGTTCTCAGCAGGGAATGAGAATTAAAATATCCTCTTTTTTTACCATCCTCTATGGTTTCATTTATTCGGGAATCCCCAAAACCGGTTCAAAGCCCCAAAACCCGGAAGGGTCCTTCCCTATCGCACCAGCAGGAAAACCCATGGTTGCCACTCAACTGGTCCCAAGTGTCAAGCCAAGGAACTCCAGCCAAAGTGTTGGGTCTTACGATCCTCAACTTGAAACCGGCCATAGCCTGAAGATCCTGGGCAAAACCAATGCCCCCAAAGGGAAAGCTTTGGAAGGGACCTGTCGGGGTCTCCCAAGATTCCGATTTCCGATTTGAAGAAGGTCAAACCATCTAGTTCTTCAAACGCTTTCAAAGCGCAGGCTTGCCCTTGGCACCACACTTGGCCTGGAGAGGAGGTTGGACTTGCCCACGCCCGAATCGCCAATCAGCACCACCTGCATGTGTGCAGCGTCTCAATCGTTGTCATATGGCCATGGGTCAAAAGCCTGTACCCCCAGTGAACATCCCAATCCCCAGTAAAATAGACTAACATGGGTGGTGCACCTACCCCAAAATCGTACCATTGGTTTTGACCCACAGCCATATGCATTTGTCTATAGTCTCCTACAATCCTACAGAAGGACAAATGCAACCACCAATGGCCAGAGGTACGCCCCCCCCCCAACTTCACTTTTCATGGGATGGATACGTGGGCATGAAACCTCACGTTGAGATGTGCCGTGGATTCTCTAGTACCAATGTTGCGAGCTGCACCCCTTGTCACGTAAAACTATACACGTGAGTTCGCAGCCAGAAACGGTGCATGAAATCCTAGACACGAAACAAAACCCAAGGCGGCCACGCCGATTCTTCTGGGTTGGGTCCCCAAGCTCCACTTGCCCGGCATTGATGCTGCGCGCGAAGATGGCCCTAGAAATGTGGGTGTTTTCTAAGGGGGACCTCGCACAAATGGAGGGTTTCCTTTCTGCTCCCCAAGTTGAGGATATTCCGTTTGCGCTGCTCGAGGCCACTTGGTCAAGCCGGAGTCGCAGTCAATACCAACAAGCAGAATCAAAGGGCGGTGTTCGGCGGAACCATGGTTTTAGTTTCCCACTTTCATCTACACTAGGGTGAAAGTAGATGCGACTCCATGGTCGGTGACTAAATCCAAATGGGGCCTTCCCCAATCGACCGCCCAGATGTCTGCCGATTTGCTTGCTGCTCACCTCCGCCCTATGTCCACTTCGGAGAGTATCGCCCCAAGAAACCGGTGGGGGGAGGTAACAAAGGGCGGGTGGCCTCCATTTGGAAGTTTCTCAATACATAGTGGACCCTTGGTTGGTACTTAAAGGGGAAAAGAAGGACACCAACCACTTGTGGGATCCCTATGCTGAGAAACACCCATACCAAAAAATGGACACCCAATGCAGGACCTTTCGGAGAAATGTACACGACGACATCCAAGTCTTTAAATTACCCAACCCATATGTCTCCACATGGAACCCCCAAAAAGGTGATTTCTGAATTTGCTGTTGGGCTTCCTGTGCAGTAGGCCAAAAAGGGTTCCGAGACACGCCAGATCATGTCTACCCAGCCTGCCAGAAAAGCTCCATACCTCCAATCCCATAAAGTGCTGCTGGAAATGAACGTGGTGCATCCCACTGAGGTTTCCTGGAGAGGAATCATATGCGCCAACAGCCAAGTGACTTTCGCAATGATTCCGTTTCGCTGCATAGTGGGTAAACTAACGGAACCACCCTTTAAGATCCGAAAGGAACATGGATGGTTGCCTACTATAGACGAAAACTGGGATCCACTGGACTTTGTTTCATCCACTGAAAGGTCACAGTTGGACAAGCACAATCGCCACGTGCAATTCGGTTGAGCTCTTGAGCACCCAAACAAGTGCAAGGGGTGCTGAGAGCCTTGCTGACCGAATCCTATGGGAATTTGAGAATAATCCCTATGAACACTCCTTTGCAACTTCCTTCAAATCAGGATCCCACTTCCAAAGCACTTCGAGGGCTTCCCTGAGAAGCAGCATGAGCCGAATCGCTGTCGTTTTCGGGGAGCAACTGATCCAATCAGGTTCCGCAGCGACTGAGATCCCATTATCCAATCAGGTTCCGCAGCGACTGAGATCCCATTCTGATCCCAGAAACCCGCCTTGAACAAATAGTCGTAGTCATCGTCTCTCGCCATTGGGCCTCTGACCGCAATGGGATTCGAGGATTGAGGTGGTTGGTTTCACGTAAAGCATGGACAATTGAGGGAAAACCGCAGCAACGTTTCGTAAGCACGTTTTGGTGAGTGAAGTGCGGTGGAGACCGTGCGGCAACTCGCAAAGAGCATGCTTTCCTGGTTTGTGCGTGGAGTTAGACCTGACCAGATTCGGGTACAACAAGATTTGGCAATCCTCGAATGACTTTGTTGAATGGACACCAAGGACCTATTTGTAAACCGTTGCATGCTGAACAGGGGCCCGGGGGGCATATACTTTGTTGACGGCATCCTTCACTTTGTTTGGGCGGCACGCGTTTCACACCCGGAATCATCCACCAGGTTGATTCATTCCGGCAAGCAAGGCAAACGCGCAGGTGGGAGTTTCGCCAATAACTAAAAACCAAATGTTCAACTTAACCCCAAAGAAAGCAACCAGCCCATGGCCTATATTGGGGCTCAATGAGCTGATAACGGGGCTACTCAAATTGTGCTGGCTGGCCCTCCGCAACCGAGCAGAAAGCGCTGGCAAGGGGGACAAAACTTTTGGCCAGGCCTGGCGGAAGCCTCTCCGGAACCGTCCCCGGTCCAGGCCGGGTTGGCCTTTTAGTAGAAACTGGATGGCATTCCAAAGCAACGCACTGTGGTGCAGTCGTGGGCTTGCTTTGGTTTCACTGGGGAGCAGTGCTCCGCCCGTAACCCAAGGGCCCCCTTGGGCGTCGAAGAATAAAAAGCGCGCTTTCTGGTATCCCCTATGAAAGGCGGCAGGCGGCACCAAGGTCCAAAAGCGGAACCATGTGTTTGACAACTTTTTGGGGAATGACCACTGTTGCTTCCAGAGCAACCCACAAAACCCGCTGGTTGAGCCTCTTCAGTTGGACTCCCTGGTTTTTTGGGAGGGCAAAACCCCATAATTCCAAGAGGGGCTTTTCGAAAACTCGGACTCTAGGTCTTGGGTTGCGGCAGTTCGCCTTACAGCGGCTCCTCCTCCCAAAAAACAGGACCGACCTGACACTCCAAAGACGGAAGAAGGTCGTTCCGAATAGACCATCTAAAAAAAAAAAACGGTCGAGGACGGGTTGCAGAAGTTCATCTGAGCTCAAGACGGGAGTCTCCAAGCGATTCACGAGTGTGAGAAACCCCGAGCCTTTTTCAGCAAAGCAAAAGGTGAATTGAAGATCAAGGGGGATTTGGTGCGAAATGCAGATTGGATCCCTAAAGGCATCTCACGGGATCCATATTTCAGGAAGACTTTGACCTGAGAGATGTCCTGTGACGGGTGCGTTTTTTGCCGCAGGGGAGTGTAGCCCCTTTTGAGCCAATGCCGTCGGAAGGTCCAGCAGCGTAAACCACTTGATACATATCCTCGCACTAACATGGCAACTGACACAGGGTACCCCCCAGGAGGAAAACCAGCTTCCAGGTATTCTCCCACAGGTGCTGCGTTTGGGGTTTTCTGTTGGGGGTAGGACTTGTTCTACCCTCAGGGTTCAAGTACTCCCGGAGAGGCGCTTGGACCCACTTGACGCCATCCTCAAAGAAGTCTTGGACCTTCAACGGGAAACAGGCCCTATAAGGGACCCCGTCCGGACCACCCATAAGGTTGCCCCAAACTCGTCCCATCATGAGCCACCACTATCAAATTCACCTCTTAAGTTGTAGGTCTTGGTTGTCCAAAGGACCTGGAAATAAAAGGTTCACCTTTTGGGGCCATGACTAGACATGCACACAGGGAAAGCCAACTTAAGGTGAAAAGGTCGATTCGCTTTGAACAAGTGAGAGGTCAAAAGACAACAACTCAACTTGGCTTTGACAACTCCCAGAAACTTAAAACGGAGCAACTCAATCTGGCTTTGAAAACGCAACCAGAGACAGTCACCAGAATGCCCCCAGCATGCTCCGAAGCTCGAAGCTGTTCGCCCAGGCCATAGGTTTCAAAGACGAACTCTGCGAAACTCAGAGAAGCAAAGAACTGATTCAGAATTTCTTCCATATTGAGGATAGTCTACGTACTCTAAATAAAGAGCTTTGGAGGAAGCCCGATTGACTCATGACTTCGATGCATGGATCATCTTCATGCTACTTCCATCTGCTTCTTGGCCATACCCCAACGAACTTCAAACCTGGGCCATGTTCCTCACGTGGGACCCCTAGCCCCTGCAATGGGTGGCCAACAACAGGAACCCCGACAGGGTGCCCTTGGTATCACTAGGGGATGAGGCTCCCTTGACCTGGGATGAAACCAACTCCCCACTCAGTCCCTTGCGTTCATTCCATCGCAAAACGCGAAACGTCACATGCGACACTCGCACATCAGCAGAGGAGCACTGAACCTTTTTGAGTTCACTGGTTTATATAAGGCTGCAAAGCTGGGAGACACATGAAGAAACCATGGGGTTTCCTTTAGGGACCTTCAGAGGGATCACGAGAGCCGAACATCACTTTTTTGAGGGTCAGAAAAGGTGGAACCAAATGGGGGCTGAACAGGCTGGGGTGTGACCTTTTAGCCTTTAAAGGGTTAATCTGTTGGTTGGCAGACCCTCGACTCGCCTTTTTGAATTTGCCATGGAAGGCGCTGAATTGAGTCGCGTGGCCGTGGCCGCTCAGGCGAGCTGATTCTGTGCAAAAGTCCGATAGAACAACGTGCTGCAATAGGGAATGAGAAATGGAATGACCCTTATAAAGCATCCAACTGGTGGTTTCCTTTAAAGAGGATCCTTGGGTTCATTCAGCCACATTCCCTACCTATCGCACCAGCAAGACACAACTGGACCCGAACTTGAACAATCATAGAAGGTTGACAACACAAAACACAAATGATAACTTATGCACAGTGCAAGAAAGGTACATGATACCAAGACTTCATCGTTGTGTGGCACGGAATGCTACACGGCATGCAGCTTCCGATCAGGTACTCACGGAACGCTGAGTTGGCCATGTGCAAAAAGATTGCCTTAGGGTCCACGTGCCTAAGATATGTTGACCCCCTTCAACCCCTGGCTGTGGGTCAAAAATAGGTACCCCAAATGGAACCCTGGTAAATGGAAAGAAGGGCCTTTTACCTGCGGTCCATATCCTGGTGGTTTAATTCTGACCCATACCCCCCTCCAACCCCTCACCCCCCCCCCCCTCAAGGGCTCGGTGGGCTCTCTGAAAAGGGCCGGGCCTTGGGCCTTGCAGTGAGCATTTCCAGGTGGACGCACGGCTCCAGGCGCCCCGGAATCAATGGGATTTGGTGGCTTTCAAAGCCAGGGGCAAAAGCAAAATATGAGGAGCCAGCAAATGGAGTCCCATGGGACTATGAGCGAGTCCTCGATATCCGGACTTCAGACTCAGTCTTAACTCTTTGCTGACCCTTCCCAAGCAGTACAGAGTCCAGGAACTGAGGGAATGCGTTAAAGGAGCTTCCCTTAGCATCACAGAAAGTGAGCCTCCCCCATTTTCAACAAGCATGCCCTTCCAATGTCAGGCTTGTGGGGACATGGATTCTGGGTTTGGCTCCAAATTGGCACGCGCCAGGCCATTTTGCCATTCCGCCCTCGAAATCGCCCCAAACAAGCTCACCTATGCAACTTTCTGCCGCGCAAAGCCCATCCGGACATGGATGCCGATTTGGGATCATCAATTCGGAGCCGGCGCGCGCTGCTATCGCAGGCCACCGGCCCCGCATGCTCCACAGGCCAGCTGAAAGCCATCGTCTTGTGTCATATGTGGAACGTGGACGCAGCGATTGGGTGGCTGTTTGTTTCCTTAGGCAAGGAACACACGCATGAGTTGAGCGAAAAACGACTGACATTCCCTTCCCTTGCCCATCTTCACCGAGAATCGACGGATGATCTTTGGGTTCTAGACAAGCTGCCCATGGACCATTGCTCAGCACGACCTACATGAGGAAGGCAAGCTGACTTCAGCCCTGATCCAAACGAAAGACTTCTCAAGGCTCGTCGTTGGCCTGACTTGAGTGTAGGGGCCAGACTTGTTTTTTTTGTTTTTTGTTCTTTTTTTTATATAAACACTTGTTCTTCGCAAATAGCCTGAAGTCCAAACAAGTATACAGTCCAAAAATGCCCAATTCAAGAATCAAGCACTAGAAAAGTGGCCTGAAAAAGAGGAGTTTCGATTGATTATTAGCCGGGTTGCTTTGAGTTTTGGGGGCATTACTAGCAGAGTTCCTGCACTGTGGGGGGCAACCTCTGCATCTGAGATCTGTTCCCTTGCTATCTGCTTGATTCGTCAAAGTTCGAGCTTACCTCGACAAGGTGACTCTCTTTTCCTTTCTTTCGACGAGCTCTTTTCCACCTCCCATTTTTTGGGGCGTCTTAGGACGGTAGCTGGCTGGTAGCCTGGCTAAGGCTCCAGGATCCACTTCGCACTTGGTGGGGTATCAACCAGAATTCATACTGATGGTTGCGAAATCCATTTCGCACCAGCTTGCAACGGTTGAAACCCATAAGGTTTCTTGGTATTTACAGTGGAATCGAATCAGAAACCAGAAACGGTCCCTTAGGTTCTGCGAAACGGATGTTGTCCATCCACACTAGGGTTCCATTCAGCCCAGCTGGTGTGGCTTTTGTCCATCCAGAACAGATGAGGGTAAGCCGGTCGCCCATCACTGCTATACTCCAATCTAGGTATTGTGACCAGGTCCTGCCCGCATTTCACACACAAGTGTTACGCACATATCTAAACATGTCGTGCTCTTCGATCCTGAACATTGCTCCGATCGGCTTGAAAGCACCTTTAGATGGTGTTGTTTTGCGGATCTCCGGAGATTTTGATTGCTGTTGACCCCCCTGCAAAAAGTTTAGCTTCTTGGGGGTTTAGTGGAAAGCCCCTTGGTTTCCCAAAAAATTAAAGTCTAAACATCCAACCCAGTAGCAGTCAAGAGATGGTGCCCGAGATTTGTTTTGCGCTTGCCTCCTCTCGTAACTAGCAGCTGCAGCCCAGCTCGGACATGATATCCTTCAGCAGTTGCTCCGCGAGCACATCCTGCACATCTGTGGCAAGCCCCAGAACCTACTCTTCACAGGGTGTATTGAAGTGACATCATGTTGATATGGGGGGCCTGAGAAAAAGAAATAAACATAATAATAATAATAGCAATAATAATTAATAATAATAACAATTATGTCCGCTTTGTTGTACTTTCGGGGAATTTCAAAGCTGGGCTATGGAGCACCCAAATAAGTACGCAAGCCACCAGCGCCTCAGCCGGCTTCGTTCGGCCCATGCCCGTGGCCGAAGCTCCGAAGACACCCAAAAGCAGACTTTCAGATGTCTCACTTTCAGTCAACCTTAAAATATAGCGTGCGTTTCTCGCAGGGTCCCCTGAAATGCTTGGATCTTGTGAGGGTACCCCCCTTTTCGTGCATTTACGGCAAAAAGCCAAAAGGAACACTTGGGGAGAGCTCCCCGAAAAACGGCGACGTCGCGGAGACAGGTTCCTTGAAGTAGTGCCGGTTCAGCGAGTAGTTCAGCGCTTTCGGCTCCAAAAGCCTCCGAGACCAACTTGCGTGACTCATACCCTCCTACCTTTTTTACATGGAAACTGAGAGGGACCCGGTCCCTTCAAAAGGAACATGGTCCAATCCAGGACCCATGTTAATTGGTGCGAGGGGAATTCATACACCCCAGTTTATTCCTAGGGTTTGATGCCATAAACTGGGGTTGACTAATATGGGGGCAAGATGAATACAACCAGGAAACAGTCGGGTGCCAAAATTGTGAAGTCCCACTGAAAGCTCCGAAGGGTTGACACCTTCACCTTCGTGAAGGTTCAGGTATAATCCCAGTCCCAAGCTGAATCTTTACGTAGCTTGGGTCCATTTAAATAGCAGGTTTCAGCCTCGGTCAAAATTAAGGCTCCCCAAGACGACATGGATCCAAAACTTCGTAAGCCCCCGGCGTTTGTCAACAAACTGGTGAGTGCCCTGGTGTTGGCAGCTGAAATTGAGAGTTCGGTCCCCTTTGAGTTTCTGCAACATGAAATACAGACTCGGCATTTTGCCTGCACCTCAGAAGAGCAGCTCCAACAACCCATTCACATTTGGTCCAACCGAGGTAGAAAGGTTCCTGGAGATTCGCGTGTCATGGGATTCCTGGTAGTTCTCAGCATTTACATCGTTTTTCATTCATACGCCGGGTTTTTTGCCAAAGCGCCGAACAACTACCAGAACGCCTGGATTTCTTATGAGATGGCCCGTTTTTGGAGTCGTGAAGCGCAAAGGAACCTTCAAAAGGCACTGAAGGACGGCATCAGGCACAAACAGATAGCAAGTTTGACCGCCTAGATTTACCCGCAAAACACTCTCAAAAAGGCTCAAAACACCCGCAAAACTGGAAACGTCATCAAATGGTTTCTCTGGATGGCTTGGAAGGGGCACGTTGACAGCTCAGCTGACCAAAGGGCGACAAACAAAAACAGATCGCAACTTGCACGGGCAGCTGCAATGTGCCTGTCGGGCGTGCTTATAATTTAATCACACTCGGTACGGGGCGTGGATTGCCATGCCTGCTGGATTGCATGATTCCGCAGTGCGTCGGGCTGAGTCTCGTCCAGCAAAACAACTAAACGCCCAAATCGCCTAAATCGCCTTGAACAGCAAAATGTTTAGCCAGGTTTATCTATTTAAGTCGCACTATAGACCCTGATAAGGAAGAACCTCCCTATAAAGATGCTTACAGGAGTTTTGGGCGCTGCTCAGATGGTTTCACAAAGTGGTGAACCACAACAAGGGCCTTGTAAGGCCAAAACAAAATGCCAAGCTTTCTTGAACATATCATGACGGACGGGGCATTGTTGTGTGTGTGTGTGTGTGTGTGCTTGTGTGTGTGTGCTTGTGCTTGTGCTTGTGCTTGTGCTTGTGCTTAAGCTTGTGCTTGTGCTTGTGCTTGTGCTTAAGCTTGTGCTTGTGCTTGTGCTTGTGTTTGTGCTTGTGCTTGTGCTTGTGTTTGTGTTTGTGTTTCTGTTTGTGCTTGTGTGTTTGTGTGTTTGTGTGTTTGTGTGTTTGTGTGTGTGGTTGTGTGTGTGTGTGTGTTTGTGTGTGTTTGTGTGTGTGTGTTTGTGTGTGTGTTTGTTTGTGTGTTTGTTTGTGTTTTTTGTGTGTTTGTGTGTGTTTGTGTGTGTGTGTTTGTGTGTGTGTGTGTGTTTGTTTGTGTGTTTGTTTGTGTTTTTTGTGTGTTTGTTTGTGTTTGTGTGGTTGTGTTTGTGTTTGTGTGTGTTTGTGCGTTTGTGTGTTTGTGTTTCTGTGTGTGTTTGTGTGTTTGTGTGTTTGTGTGTTTGTGTGTTTGTGTGTTTGTGTGTGTGTTTGTGTGTTTGTGTGTTTGTGTGTTTGTGTGTTTGTGTGTGTGTGTGTTTGTGTGTTTGTGTGTTTGTGTGCGTGTGCGCGTGTGTGTGTTTGTGTGTTTGTGTGTGTTTGTGTGTGTGTGTTTGTGTGTGTGTGTTTGTGTGTTTGTGTGTTTGTGTGTTTGTGTGTGTGTGTTTGTGTGTTTGCGTGTTTGCGTGTTTGCGTGGTTGGGTGTTTGGGTGTTTGTGTGTGTGTGTGTTTGTGTGTTTGTGTGTTTGGGTGTTTGTGTGTTTGTGTGTTTGTGTGTTTGTGTGTTTGTGTGTTTGTGTGTTTGCGTGTTTGCGTGTTTGCGTGTTTGCGTGTTTGCGTGTTTGGGTGTTTGTGTGTGTGTGTGTGTGTTTGTGTTTTGGTGTGTTTGTGTGTTTGTGTGTTTGTGTGTTTGCGTGTTTGCGTGTTTGCGTGTTTGCGTGTTTGCGTGTTTGGGTGTTTGTGTGTGTGTGTGTTTGTGTGTTTGTGTGTTTGTGTGTTTGTGTGTCTGTGTGTTTGTGTGTTTGTGTGTTTGTGTGTTTGTGTGTGTCTGTGTGTCTGTGTGTCTGTGTGTGTTTGTGTGTGTGTGTGTGTGTTTGTGTGTGTTTGTTTGTTTGTGTGTTTGTTTGTGTGTTTGTGTGTTTGTGTGCTTGTTTGTTTGTGTGCTTGTGTGTGTCTGTGTGTCTAGAGGTGTGCGTGTGGTTGCGATCCTGGGCTTACCCCTTTCTGTCAAGGCTCGTCTTTGTCCTTGTCCATTTGTCGGAGAAGCCTACGTTGCACTCTTTGCCATTCAGGGGCTGATCCGTGGTCAACGTTCAACCCCGATCCTGAGATTTAACTCATTGGTACCACCAACACTTAAGCTGAGGGCAAAGATGTAAGATGGAACTAAATGCTGACCAGCATCCTTCTGCACAATCAATTTGAATGATTAGAGATGTTTGTGTTTCAGGGCATTCTGGCTGCGAGGGACAAGGCAAACACCTCCAACGGCTATCACATGGCTTGTCGGACAACCTCCACTCGGGGAGGAACTTATGCGGCTTCCTCAGCTGTATCTTGAGCTGGTGGATACGCTGCAAATGCCTGTGCATGAAAGCTAAAGGAAACCCGGCATTTCTAGAGGAAACAGTTCTTTTTGGGGGACCCCCTTTCTAGGCTTCCATTTGTGAACTTGCAAATGGCCAGAGTTCGCATCGAGGTGAAGGGTCCAACAGTCAATCCCCTTGACTTGGCGCCACTTCACAACCTCTCTCCTATGACCTTGGTTTTCAAGCACCCAACTCATTCTGATCAAATTCAATGAGCCTCAAATCCCCAAACCACCAAACCAGCAGAGGGTTGCCTGGTGATGAGAGGATCTATAGGTAAGTGGCCATGGGTCACAACCCCGAACCCCGCACATCCCAATCTCCACTAAAATAGAACACAATTGGTTGTGCACCTACCCCATTATGGTATTGAAAAGGTTTTGAACCATGGCCAAGTCAAGTTGGACCCCCATAGTTTCCACACGGCTCCTCTTACCCAAGCCGCAAGTCGCCGAACACAACGCCGCGGGCCTCACCACGTCGAGCACGGACACGTTGCTGGCTTTGGCCGCCTCCCGTTGGCAGCTCAGGTCCTTGCAGAAAGAACTGCCAGGGGCCCCCATTTGCTGAAGCCCTCTGGAAAAACAAAGTGAACAAAAAAAACATAAAACATCCAGTGGTGATGGAAAAAAGAAAACAAAAACAAACCAGTAGTGATAGATTCCCTTTAACACCAACAGGTAAAATCAAAACAAATATTCTTGAGCAAATGGAAGGCAAGGGGGAGTCCCCTTGTTTTTGGGAATTTTGAGGTTGCCACTCCGAAAGAAATGTGGACATAGAAAAATCAACGGGTGGGGGGTGCCCGGGGTGCGGGCCCCTCCAATGGCCCAATGGTGGTCTGATTTTTCACTTTCACCCAGGACCCCCCCTACTAATAAACGGGTTGGTTGAGAAATATGGGGTCGGCATGGCCACCCTAACGGCCCCTCAAGCGGTGGAGCCTCAGTGATCGCCCGCATTGAGCCGGGAACCTTGAGCCCCAGCTCAACTGCCGCCCCGCGGCGGCGCGATCCGCCAAAATCCCCGGCCCCCAACTTGCCACTGCACCTATGGGACAAGACCCGGAGAGACATTGGGACCATCACCTGAAATCCCCCCTTTTGAAGCCCGGCAAAACTCAAGCCACCAAGCAAAAGCTGGAGCGTTGCCGAGTCTGAGTCGCATCCATGGTGTTGGATGCCGAGCCAAGCTGTGCACCTCAAAGATGCGAGTCTTAAACCCGAAGCCTCCCACAATTGCTTTAAACTGGGCGCTCAAGGGCCCCTATTAGTTGGCATTTTGTTGTGAGGCCCGGAAAAGTGCGTTGGAGGGATGAGCCACAAAGGCAAACTGCCAAGTTGGGTCCGGTCACATCCTAAATCGGTTCCCTGAAACTGAGAGTGCCCTGAACCTGCGGAAAGCAGAAAGGCATCCAAGGACGCCTCTTGGGGTGCCGTTGTTCAGGATGCCCATCCCCACTTTGCCACTTTGGTTGACAGCTGGAGTGTCTTTTCGGGTCCGCAACAAGGCAACCTTGGCTTCTACCGCATGTTTTTTTGCCAACTTATGCTTTTGTGTGATGATTGCGGATTCGTGTTTCGTCAACCATAAACTGCAAAGTCATAGCCTCGGGCAAAAGTATTTGCTTCAGCGAGACATTGGAAAATGGGGAAAGTCCCCTGGAAAATATGGTTGGGCCATGTCCGGTTTCTTTGGCGAACCATAGACTCCTGGCAAGAAGTTAGCTTCAGCGCTAAAGGGCCGCCCTTCGCGGGAATGGCCAAGTCAGGCAACAAGACCCCCTACAACCCTTTGCTTGAGGGACCATGAGAAAACCAGACCCAGTTTGCCAGTTTATTCCATTTACCTGGAGGTACAACCATGGGTACAAGCAAGGGTTCCCGCTTAAAGCCAAGGACAATCGCTGCGTCCACTGGGAGCAGCGAAAGCAGCCAGGCCTTGGGGTTCCCCCGCTCCGCGCGACTAGATCGGGTCCTCCTTCACCCGCTTCCGCGAGACGCGGAGCCCGGGCTCCACCAAGGGATTGCTGGCCCACAGCACCGAAATGCCTCGAGGACAAATCCCCAACGTAGCGATTCCCTTCTTTCCAGGTCTTCCATTGGCTTTTTGCGCGCCCTGGAAAGAATGAGAAAATATGTCCAGTGATAGATTCCACGTAAAACCAACAAGGGACTATAAAAATAGTCTTAAGCAAATGGAAGAGGTAAGTGAGTGTTCTAGACGATCGACACTTTATCTTGAAATATGACCGCTTCTAAGAGTCTACCCTTTCCAGACGAGTGTTCTAGACAACTAGGTCCTCCAGTAGAGAGGTTGGAATGAGGAAACCTTTTTTTTTCTGTAGTCTATTTTAGTAGGGGAACCCTCCCCAAAAAAAGGGGAGAGAAGGGCACTACTGGGGGACCTAGTCGTAAGCCGCTTCCGTGAAACCTCCTGTGGTAAGGGCACCTCTTCCATTTTTCGAGGTAGCGTATTCCGGTCAATCACCCACAAGGGACAGCAGTAACATTTTACACGAGGGGGTCTTCCCAGGCCAAAACAAAGAGCGGCCTTCGGAAAATGGTTGAAATGGGGAATCAACCCCAAGAGCCGTGGCCACAAATTTCCATCCTCCTTGTCTCCCTTCAATGCAGCCACGGAATAATCCACCTGGATGAATTTGAGGGGGTACGGGGTACTCCCTGGACATCCCTGGACAGCGATCTGCATCCCGTCTATATGGATTAATTAATCAACTCAGGTCCCATCTTCAATCGTGAGTAACTTCCATCGTTTCCCTTGCAATGCCCTTCCAACACGACATCCATGTCCAACTTCTGGCACCAAACTTGGTCCCGAATCGTGCAAAGAAGCAGTGGCAAGAGACTTGCTGGTGAGGGAGTGATCCCCCAAAGCTTCCTTTCAGGTGCAACAAGTTGAGTCGGAATCAAAGGTATCCGGAATCACCCGTCCCTATTTATGGTTTGGGAGCTGCCTAGACTTCATCCACCCGAATCGGTATTGAAGAAGTGGAGCTTGTTTGTCCAGAACCATGGCTCTAACTTCATTCAACCAAATTTCGAGCAAGTGGCTCACATCACCCTTGCCCATTGCCTTTGTCTGTTCGCATTGCCATCGATTCCCTTTGGATCTGGAGGTTTCTGGGAATGGCATGTTTCGGGGGGCCATCAAAGAGACCATTTTAGGCCTCAAAGTCCGGCTTCGCGAGAAACACCCGGGTTGTATGCGTGGCTTGCCCCCATGTTTCCAGCTGTTTCCCGGAAACACCCATAATACATAGTTATATAGTTGCCTTCGGTTACCCCATTTTTCCAGCTTCCCCAAAAGCTGACTGGTTCCCTGAAACCAACTGGGTGTCTTTTCATAGGCCTCCTCCGAACAATTATGATGTTCCTGATGGTTTCGTTTTAAAAAGCAGCCCACAAACTAGGGCTGGTCCCTCCCAAAAAGTTTGCTTTCAAACCCACCCAAAGGGCACCTGCAAATACAAGCCACCCAACACGGGGGGCGTACACGCACTGACCCGCCCATCCAACCGGACGCCCGCTCCGCGCTCCGCGCTCCGCTCTGCTTCGCTCGGCTTCGGCTTCCGCTCGCCTGCCGCCTGGATCTCTGCCAGCGCGGAGGCGATGCCCATCTGCCGGCCCTGACGCCCCTGACGCAGTGGCCGCCGGTGCGGTGATGGCGAGAGAGGGAAGCCTCAAAACACGGCTCTGAGTAAAACGCCCCCTACAACCAGTGTGACTCATCCGTGGCTCCATTGCAATAGTCTTACCGGTCTTGGAAAGTTCGCTACTACTCTGTGTTGTCATATATATATACATATATATATATATACACACTGGACAAAGGCCTCCTCAAAAACCCGCAAAGGGCAGGAGCTGAAAAACGGAGCCTCAAAAGAGGCCGAGCACCATGTTGACCAAATCTTTAATGCATAAAAGGATGGCACTTATAAAGCTGCCAGATTCAGCAGCCGTTCGGCATACGTACGGTAGACTGTCGAATCCGGACAGTGCTTGTGCAAAGGGTCCCGCTACCTATCACATCATTGTCAGAATGACAGCAATTGCCAAATAGGACTTGGGGCCCTCCGGACAACAACAGACCAACAGCAATTCACCTTGCCCCTTAGTTGGTCGTTTGGATTGGTGGTTTAGGAATATGAAGATATGAGCCCCTGGTTCTGGTGGGCTTGAATGGGAAACCCCGGGCTCCAAACCGGCCAGAAGGGAGCTGAATTTGATAACATCCCGGCGATTGCCCCCCGGCCTTCGGGCGATCCTGCTTGTCAGCTAGGCAATGCCCGAAGGTCGCGTTGCAGGTCCCGTTGCCATCTGGCAAGTGCCACAGCCCGTGGTTGAAGACCTCACCAGGGAAAACCGGGGGGCGGGAAAAAGGGGGGTATGGCTTATGGGTGTGTCTTAAGGCCGGCCTCTTTTCAACACCAGAAGCGTAGCCTCAACAAGAAGAGCACACCCATCTGCCCTTTGTATGTGGCCAGATGTACACGTATAATCCTCCCATTGGACCCCTGGTGGTGGTTGGGGGGGGTGGACATCATCTTAGAAGGACCCCTGGTGGTGGTTGGGGGGGTGGACATCATCTTAGAAAGCTGAGGCTCGTGTGTCAGTGAGAGTGTCAGGACCATGATAATGATGACATGATGTTGATATGATACGGTACGATACGAGATTAGCACTTTATGATATGACAAGATTATAGGACACACACAAATGACCTGGTGATATGGATGTTACATGCCATGCGTTGTAGCTATCCCTGCAGCCGTTGTCCTTTGGTTTGAAAACGGTGATTACCTTCGTTACCTGCTGGTAAACGGATCCACAGGGTTTTGCTCGCCCTGACTCCTACCCGTTGTCTAATCATATGAGTGGACAGGGATCTTCCCAAAGGGACAGGCTTTGTTGGAGAGAGGGTACTGCAGTACAAGCAACTGCAACCTAACCTGGTTTCTGGCTTGGAGCATTGCCCCTTCTGTTTGCCCGGATGACCATGCAGTACCTACAATCGCTTGGGGAACACAACCTCGTGCAAAATGACAAGCACCTCAGCACTACCTTCGAGAAGGAAGGCCAAGGGTGTCATCAGTTCGAATTGCTGGCCAAAGGCGAATGCGCCACGGTCAAAATTATGCTCTAAATGATCCCGGACGAATCCCATCGCCTTCCTTGTGGGACAATAGAGTCCCCTCACGTCCCGATGAAATTTTGGCCAAACAACTGGAGGAACTCTATTTCATCCACTTCGAGCCCTTAGAGAAATGCTCGCAGTCCATCTCCTTGCCCTGAGAAAACACACGATGCCTCTTTGGCCTGTCGCATCCATCCCAAGAAAAACTGAAAATGCCAAAGCCAAGGTCAAGATCATTGCATCCGCAACTACAATAGGATTGTGGGGAGCGATGCCTATCTTCTCAGGGAGGTGAGCGGTGATGTCCGTGTGTCAATCCGTTTACGACAATTGTTAGAGCACAATTTCCTGTAGCCTGATGATCGAGGAACCCGGGTGGATTCCTTTTGACTTTCCTACAGGTCGCGCAGGGCCAGGACATGACGGACCCCGAATCCCAACTCCCGCGTGGAACGGCCCCACAAAGGTACCCGGAATTCATAAGCCCACGTGGTATCGGGACCCACGTGGAACCGAATCCTGAAAGCCCCAAACCCCGAAGGAGCCTTGGAAGAGACCAAATCCAAGCTTTCAGCTGTTGGTGAAAAAACTGGCTGTTTGTCACCAGGGAAATGGGGGAATGACCAAGAAAAACCATCCGTTATGGTTTTCTTTAAGGGAAATTCCCTAGGTTCATTCCCAACACCCTGACTCGGTCATTTCCTGCAGCATTACGAAAAGACAGGTGCCCCTTCCCACCCCGGCCAGCATGTGGGGCTTGTGGTAGGCTTTGTGGTTCACCGGCATCTGGATCCTGGGGGCTTGACCGCAAATCCTCAGCATCGGATGCATCTCCCATGAAACGCTCGGATCTAAGCCTTACCCAGTGCTTCCTGGCGTTTCGCCACCATAGCAGGCTTGCCCGGGGGAAACCAATATGTAGAACCTAGAGGCAAGGATCTCTGGGAAAGCAAGCCTACTTGGCTTGCCCGGAAGCAGTGGGTTATACTGCAATCATCCAACCACTACCCAAGCACCCCCCCTCTGGCATCTTCGAAATCAGGCCTTGGTAGGCCAAACACTGTCTGCACTGCAACAAGTATCACACGTGACTCTGCAAAGGTAAAGTTGATTGAACACAGGGCAAACAAACACACATCTTAGGCTCCAGGCAGTTTGAGAAGTATTTCCAGGGTTTCCCATTCTGGCTATTTCCTTTGGAACCTGGTGAAATCATCAATTTCCCTGCTCATTGGCACATCCCTAATATGCCAGCCTGCTTCTTCGAGAGCTCTGCTCGGAAAACCAACTGCCCGGGCGGCAGTGCTTGTGAGGGGGGTCCTTCGCATGCTCATGATCTCAGTCAAGAACAGCCTGGGTGTGTCCCCAAGTGAGGGAACCTCCACAATGGCGAGAATGGCTGGTTTCCCCTTGCTTACCCCTTAAAACTCCAAGCCCTGGGGAAGTTAATCTTTTACAGACATGTAGCCCATGTTACCCCCAAAAAGTTGAAAAGTTGTGTTTTTAAGAGGTAAGCTTAGTTTTCTTACAACCCAGGTGTTGTGTTCGGCATCACTGTAGGCAGCTCAGCGCGGCGCTGAAACGACTCGAAGTCAATCTCCTGGATGGATTCGTGGGCGGTTTTGGACCGTGGCCCGAACATGGCAAAACTGAACGGGCGACCAGGGGTTCCATGTTTTGTCTTGTTTATATATCATATCATCCCAAGCGAAACTTAATTCAACAAAGCACTGTTCTTGGAAACATCACCCCACAACTTGCTGCGTCTCAGCAGGACATGTGGAAATGACCCCCTATGAACCATCCCCTATGGATTCCTTTAAGCGAACCCTAGATTCATTCCCAAAACTCGGAACGGTCATTCCCCGCTGAGCAACAGCAAACCAGAGAGAAACTCAATTCACATTTGCCAAGATGAACCGCGCGTTTTGGTCCACTTGAGGTACCAAACCCCTTACCCCGGGACCTGGGTGCGACTGTTTTGGGGGAACTCAAGTAAGAAACATACCCAGTGGATATTCGGGCAAGCCACTTACTGCTTCCCTGATAGACACTGGCATTGAATTTCGGCCCTTCCCCGGTTTTCTTTGGGTCTTATGGGGATGGGCTTGATGGGTTTTGGGCTGGAGGGTTTGTCCTATGGCTGTCGTGCATTCATCAATCAGGCTGGCGGATTTGTTTGCTTCCTTCCCCCACTGGAGAAAGATTGCCTCGTCTGTGAGGGACACCCCTGTGGATTTGTCCAAACTGTCCACAGTGACATCCTCAAAATGCCCCTCCAACAAGTGGTTTCAAGGAAAACCATCTTTAAAAAAGCGTTTGCCCTTCGGCATCACATCGTTAAGTCTACCAGAGGGCACAGTGTGTTCATCTGATTAACAATCTCAGCCCCCTGTCCGATTCTGGCCTCACAAAAGAGCCGGATTCGCGGGGGGGGCTGCCCCCATCGGCCAAGCCGGCACGGAAAGGCCCACATCTTGGGTACACGGAAAACCCGATTCATACTGTGGATGGACAAAGTCCTGCACCACCTAAGGGACCCTGGTTTCTGATGATTATCCTGTAAATACCAACAAACGTTATGGTTTCAACCACGGTTTCAAACCGGTGCGAAATGGATTTCGCAACCGTCCATCAGTATTTCTCTTCAACCCTGACGCAATTCCATTCCAGCAACCACTGGCAGCCAAGAGGGAACCATCCTAAAGCCCAAAGGCAGCGACTTTCGCCCAGCTCCGAAGCACCGAAGCACCGAAGCACCGCTCCTCGTTCTTGAGCCGCAGGCAGCAGCGCTGCAGCGGGGACCCCACCACCAGGGAGCGCTGAGTCTCCTTGGAGATCTTCAGCCGTTGCTCCGCGCAGGCCACGAAGCCTCGGCACGGCCAAGAAAAAAACAGATTCCCTAGGGTTCAACCGATTCCCATTGAGAGAAAGGTTGACCCGATTTATATGATGACCATCCTCAGGTAAGCAATGGCGGTTACATGATCCCCCATTGTTTTAATGGTGGCTTGAATCCCAGGCGATTGGAGAAGTGAGTTGTGCCAAATGGCTGTGGGTCAAAGCCCTGTACCCCAGTGAACATCCCAATCCCCACTAAAATGGACTAACATGGGTGGTGCACCTATATACCCCAAAATGGTACCATTGGTCTTGTCCCAAAGCCAAATAACAGTACATGGAACAACATGATGCGTCTAGGGGGTCCTCGAATGGAAGCTAAAGTGTAACTTTCTGTATGATCATATCGCCCATCAAATCAAAAGCAGCACTATCTCTACATGCTTGCCATTTGGGGTACTACAGGTTGCATCCTTTTGCAGAACGCCATATTGTTTGAGGTTGTGGTCCCCGTAAACACTTAGCCAATGTGCGATTGACTTATGCGGGGCAGTTGGTACTACCCCGTGATTGTCTGTCTGCCTGCCTGTCTCCGTCCTGCCTCTGGAGGGTGCTGTTCTGACTCTGTTCCATGTTTACCCAAAACGATAGAATAGTTCTGAAGCAGTCCCCAACCACTCTCAAGGGATCCCAATGTACTCCCAAGCTTCAAGAGGACAACCCCTTCTATGGGTGGCCTGACCTTGGCTTAGCCAAATTAAAGATCGAGGCTCTGAGGTAACGACTTCCGAACGCCAACTTCGATCGATCTGATCCAAGGGGCGGAAGGAGATTCGGATTTCTCGGGGTCCGAAGCTGTAGAGGATGTCGTCGTCGAAGCTGAGGGGACAACAAAAAGAGGCAGGGCACGGGCGAGTAGCCGTTGGCGGCTTATCATGGTTAACCACTTGAGTCACTTGCCCCGAAGCCGGTTTTGGATTGACCATGTGCGGAGAACACAAAGAGGGGTATACATGGTGCCACTGTGGGAGTTTGGCTCCCTCTGCATGGCAGGGAATCCTCCATCCTCTGGGATGGAAGTAGGTAGTTTTTTGGGGTGGAAAAAAACAACAGCAAATTCCTACAGCGAATCACATACGCAACCAAACGGAACTGTAGGAGAGCTTTGGCTCCCGTTCTCATGCAAGGAGTTCACCAGCTGTCAACTCCTTTACCACAATGATATCAGGAGAACGTTCAAGTTTACAAACTGGGTTGGCACCCAAAATCATGATGTTATCTGCGATGACGGACCATCTAGTGAATACACTGACGAGAAATTATGTCTAGGATCGCAAACTTCCTCAAAGAGCCCCCACCCCCCCCATCGCCCCGGTTCTGGTTTTGGGCAGACCTTAATAAATTTGGGCGGAACCAATGGTTTGGGTGTTGGATTCCAATTAGAATTGACCATAGACTGGAAATCCTGACAGAACTCTTAGGAACAAATCTCGGGAGGCAACTCGAACCTTTCGGTCGGTGTCTTTCCCGAGCGTTTTGGCATGGTTCACCCTGTCCTGACAAAAAGGATATGTTGAAAAGGCAGGCTGCCCCAAACCCTAACTCCAAACTAGCTGAATGGTTTGGGCTTAAGTAACAAGGCTTTTGCGGGTAGATCCAACGACTTAAGCACAACACAACTTTTGGCAAGGACCACAAAAGGACACAACATAATTTTCTACTATTTTGTGGTTTGGTCATTTGGTTCGGGGCAACTGACGTTGAGAGATAATACGATTCCGTTTCATTGTTGGGCCACACAAGAAAACAACTTTGGAGGCTCCGCGAATCTTTAGTCTAGTGCTTGCATCACAAAGCAAAACCCAAGGGCAAGTTTCTTTTCCTGCAGCCCAGACACCTGTAAAGCAGCAGAATGACAATTTGACATCTGCCTGAAAACACAAATTGGGACACCCCGCTCGAGTCGCCTTGGCCTTGTGGAAGCTACAAAACGATTCCACAGCTCCAACTCTTTGGATTTAAGCATTTAAATTGGGGGCCGAAGTTGGGTAACTTGTAGGTTAAACATGCCAAACATCCGCGATTGTTCAAACAACCTCCTTCGGCTTACTTTTAGAGGCAACCATGGCCTGGTCGGTCGAAGCTCTGGGCCGGCTTGCGTGCGCACACGATTGCTGGATGGTTCGAAGGACGAATCTTCTGCGGGGTTTGTGCGCGTCGATTCGCTGTGGCGCCGTGCAACAACTTGCAAAGTGCCCGATGAACTGACTGCTTTGACGTGCACTGTGGCTGTGGTGCCGTGCCAACGTAGTGACACAAAGCGAAATGAGGAAGTAACAAAGTACACAAGTAAGTCTAGGTCCTCCAGTAGAGAGGTTAGAGTACGGGTACCCTTTTTCTCTGTAGTCTATTTTAGTAGGGGAACCCTCCCCCAAAAAAGGGGTGAGAAAGGGCACTACTGGGGGACCTTGAAGTAAGAAAGTATCCACGAACTTGAGTCGAGCAGACTGAGTTGGATGTCAGGAGCTGGGGTCCTGGACTTCCCCCTAATACGGCTGGGGCTGGCCTGGGCGAGAAATCCGCTAGATCAGTATTGGCTTAGAATTGTCCTATTCTAAAAGTAGTACCCTGCAAATACCAACAAACGTTATGGTTTCAACCATGTTTTGAAAGTGGTGCTAACGGATTCCTCCATCCACGGTAGGATGCATCTATTTGGGGGAAGGCGAAGCTTCCTGAAATGAAGCCGCTCGGCTACCCGGTTGCAACCCTGGGGTTGGGGCCCGCGTCTAGCCCAAAGCAGGTGGTACGGGATAGGTTTGGAGAGATCTTCCATGGGCCCAGAACACCTGCTTGCTGATGCGATAGGTGGGGAATGACGGAATGAACCTGGGGATTCCCTTCCAAAAAAACCCATAGGGGAAGGGTCATGGGGGTCATTCCCTCATTCCCTGCAGCAGGCACCAGCAAGTCTTTGAGATGCTTTCATATTCACCTGGCGTCAACCGAAAGCAAGAAATACTCCAATTGGCACAGGGACATGAAAGAAGCCTCGATTTTATCGACCCCTCCAGTTCCATGTCGAGAGATATGCCCCGGCTCCCTGCGAGTTTCAGAGATAATCTCTGAGTAACTTTTCTCTCTGAGCGTCTAGTGAGGGCAGCAAAGCTCCCCGCGCCAGGTGATCTTAAAGTTGGGCGGCCGCATGCAGGCCGCCTGAAAAGCAAGGGATGTGACTCATGGGAGGGGGGGGGAGGTCAAGAATGTGGTTCCTTTTCGGATCAGTTGCGGCGCGGCCCTGGCTGACGAACTCTTTTTTGGGACGACAAAAAGCTGCAAGTTCTTCGACAGCTCCATGGTTGACCAACGGAACTACCCTGTAGGAACTAAGATCTACCGGGCATGGTTCTAAGGATGTCTTCCCTTAGCATCGACTTTGCGCCTGCATTCACGAGGGTCCCGATACTCCCCCTAACCCGCCAAAGAAAACTCCTGGAACACTTGACCTTTTGGCAAATGTAGGGAAGCCTGTCAAACATATCTACAAACCTGATTGGCCTCTGCTATGCCTCACTCTGCTCCCGAGTTCTAAGAGTGACTTCCCCATGCTTGGGGAACGAAGAACACAACTCCACCCCGTTTTTCCTGGGATGATCAAAATGGGGGGATCTCCAATACGTAATCCGTAGTGGACACCACTACAATAAGGATACCAACAACTACCATGTGGCAAACGGACAACACAGCGATTGAACAACCGAGGACACCCACACTAAACCAGGGATGTTGATTGGTGTTGGTATATAGAGACACATGAATCTACCAGCCACCGGCTCCAGCTCCTTTGGAGGGTACCAAATACCATCAAGTTGTTGCAACATTATTATCCACCCTGAAACTGAAACAATGAAGTTGTTTTTGCTCAGACAAGAAACTGGGACCTAATCCGGGACAACAGTTGTTTCGTGTCCGGAGTTGTTTGGTCCGGAAACACACATCCCCCCAAACTGTCGATGTCCTTCCATATCATTTGTGCGCAATTGCTCAGCCGACAACTTTCCAAGCGGGTAGTACATGTCTTCCCCAAATGCTCCATAATAGAAATGAAATCGGGGCGTCCAGTTGTGCAACATTTTTCCAGATCGAAAAACAAACCAACTACTAAACCAATACTAAACCAATTCTAAACAGAACTGGGCCAGGTCAAAGGAATGCTCAAACAATTGAAAACCAGTACTAGGCAGAGAGGATCAAAGAGGACCAAAAACAACCGAAGCCAATACTAAAGCAATACTAACCAGTACAACGCCAGTACGAATCAATACTCAACAATTCTCCTTTTGGTTTTCAAAGGGTGGTTCCTTTGGCTACCTATTGAACAAGTAAATGGATCCATGTATGCTAAGGCACACTCATACAATAGTTGTGGATCAGCTCCCTCCGGTCCCGCCTGTACCTCCTCCGGGGTCTGGCGGTCTGTGGGGTTTGGGGCACGGCTCTTCACCTCGTGCGGCTTCGCTTCCCAAAGGAGCCAGAGAAGCAGAGCTCCCTAATTTTTTGGGCAGGATTTTAACCGGGACCCCTTGGTGGACATGATTTCAAGGCCTGTGGGGAACCACGAGGTATTTCTGCGGTGTGGGGTGGCGCGGCGGGTGATTGGTGACCTGGAAATCCAACCAAATCCACGAAGATGAGGCAAGGGCCGTTCTGTGCCAGCAAAGGCTCCAGTACTCTGAGGTTTCTGGAGAACTGGAATGTGCGTGTGCTTGTGTGTGTGATTGAAGTGTGTCTAGGGCTGTTCCTTTGATCTGGGCTCTCCTATGCTTTCCTTTGAACGTTTCTTCTTTGGTCATTACTTTGGTCAATTGCTTGGGGTCCCCATCTCTTTTCTGAATGCTAGCCAGGAAGAAACTATTGATGGCAAGGGCTTGCTCGCCAAGGAACTGCCAATGTGCCAGTTGTAAATGCAAAATTAACATCCAAGTGTATTTAGCGAACCTGAAAACCCTCAAACCAAAACCTCAATTGAGGTCTTTGGAGTCATTTCAGCTCTCATTCCCAGGTGTCCCAAGTTGAGATGTGTTTCTTTCTGTTCCCTCAACAAACAAAACACTCGCTTCTTAACAAAAAGATGAACGGAGATCCCACGAAGCCCGGAGAGCCCTTAGGCCTTCAGCCCAACCAAAGACGCGGGGCCCCGACCTGCAAACCCGCGCCCTCCAGAAGGCCCTGCAGCAGCTGGAAGACCAGCCTCGCTCCGACTCGAGGCTCAAAACTCGGTGGCGAAATCTGCGAAGCCCGGCTAAAAGTGAACCACTTTTGGTGGTGTCATTCGGAAAACCCATTATAATTACATTAGTTTTAACTTTTGGTGGTTTAATTCGGAAAACCCCCTTTAGTTACATTAGTCGGCAAAAAGTTTCCAGTCCTCACATCCCTTGGCAAAATGGCGCCAGAGAAACCGCCCCTTCGAGGTTCTCCCGGGCGGCCGGCTTCTCAGTTCTCAGCCCACGCCCGGGAAAAATGCCGGGGCTGTCTGGGGGCCACTAAGAAGTCACTTTCCCAAAGGACCCAGAAATAAAAGGTTAACCTTTTGGGACCTTTACTAAATATTGGACCAGAAAGGAAAAACCAAAAGGTCAAAAGGTTGGCATTGGGCAACTGAGAAAAGTCTAGAACACTTGGAAAACCCGAGACACAACTTGCGATCGCGAGAGATCCGTGGGGAATGAGCAATGGAGCCTGACCCCAAGAATTAACCATGCCGCTCTGGTGATTTCCGATCAAGGGGACCAATTCCTAGGGTCATTCAACCACATTCCTGAGCACCATCAAGAAAGTACCAGGCCAGGGTTGCCTCTTCAGGCCACTAACCAACTGGACCAGAAGGGAGAAACCAAAAGGTCAACAGGTTGATAACCTTTGGGCAAGTAAGACTCAAGCACACCCATGAGCTTGTGAATAGCATGCCCAGAACGCAGGCTTGTTCTCACCATACTTTGGACAAAATCACAAGTTTCCGCCAGTGGACGACACCCATCCCTGGTGCGAATCCGGACATCCACTGGGGTTGGGAGTTTCTACGGCAATCCCTGGGTTCAAGTCTCCAAGATGTCCTTTCGTTCTTCACGTCTGCAAAAAGACCTAACCTGCCATAGGTGTTTCAATGCAACAACAAACTGGTACCCTCAAAAAAGATAGACTCCATAAGGAATCGTCGAGGAACCTTCATCAAGGTGCTAGTTTTACCCCCAGAGCCCGGCGTGGTTGCTTCCCAAGCAAACCAAAAAATCAATGCAAGCCATAGCGCAAACCGAGCATCAAGTGCTGAAAATCAAACAAACGGCCAGTACCCACTGGTGGCAATGAGTAGTCCCCGGTCTATACTAAGATGGCTTTGGGGGGCTTAGCTAGGAGCCAGTGGGGGTGACTAAACACTTCGCTACTCATAACTCATGCAACGTAACTACTTTAGACTGGATCCTTCAAATGTCTTGTATTTAGGTTTCCTTCTAAAACAAGTGGCTTCGGTGTGGATCCTTTTTAAAGTCCTCCATTTAGGTTGCCCTTTAGCTCTACCCGCTATTCAGGCTTCCCTCAAAGGTATTCCCGGATCTCCCTTCAGAATTCATCTGGACACGCCTGGGATCTGGAGTCGAACATGCAAGCCATGAACCACTAGTCACTAGTCTCATCTTAACCCTTCAAACATGAGGGGGTACACACCCAACACCTGCTGTCCTCAGATCCCCCGCTAAAACCTTAGCTTTGTGGGTTAAATGCAATCCCCACTAAACACTACAAGGCCAAAAAGCCGAAAGACACTCATGGGTCATACCCCCACTGAAGGCTACTTGAATTGGGCAAGGAAGTCTGGGTGGATTAATCCACTTCCGACAGGGCGGGGATCACCCCACGACTGGGGATGTGCGAGCGGATTCACATCGGACTGGGAGCCCCGATTTCAGGTTGAGTCAAGGAAGACTTGCTCGACTTGGACACTCGGCTTCAGGACCTGTCTCCTGGACCCAAAAAGGACCAGATTGCCGCAGCATCTCTAGCAACTTCGGCCTTAACCATCCCATTGGTCGGGGATGGGGGGCGGGGGGGGCGGGGCTGGGCCTCCCTCCGCCCAAGTCGCTACAACAAAACTATGATTCTTCTTCCGGTGCAAAGAGTTTCATCGTTTGGTCGTGGAGTTAAGGCAACAGTTAAAGGCAAAATCTATGCAACGAAGCCAAGAAACCTTCGGCTCCCGAGACCACCCCCAACATGGTGGTTCGCCCTTAGTGCCCCAAGGGTACCAACTCAAACGCCTTGCGATAGACCTGACGGGCTGCAAGCTGTTCCCTCCCCGGGCCTCCAGTTGGTGTCGCCGGCCAAAACCAGCCTCGAACGATCCGAAACAAGCACCCGCACAGGCGGACCGACCGTGAGAACATTTGGGTGTGGCTCACAAATAGGGGCCGAAATGGAACCCTGGCAAATGGAAAGGTAGACTAAAAACTGCGCAACCCCAAGTGTTTAATTTTCACTCACAGCCATTTTGACCCAAAAAGGAAGCACGAAAGATGGGTGATTTTCCAAAAGTATGGAACCCATTTTTTTGAATTCTTGGATGGCGCGTAATATGCTTCCACAGGGAGATGGGGCATTTCTCAAGGGGCGGTTTCCTTTTGGTGGTCCTTCAAAACTACCACCCCCCAAGGGGAATTTCACACAAAGACAATGATTCTTGTTTCCCCTCGCCACTTCAAGCACTTGGGCAGCTAGTGGGTGTCTCTTTTTTTGATGGTAAGGGGAAACAAACAGGGGCAAATCAGAAAGACTCGGGCACCATGTGGAAGCAAAAAGGCCTTTATTGCGCGTGCCTTGTTCTTCGTGGCCCACCTCAACCATTTGGAGACCTCAGATCGAAGGGTTCCAAGACATGTTGGCCATATGCTGGCCATGGCGTGGTTCAAATGGGAACCTCGGATTAATAAAGCCATGCGGTGTCACCCACAAAAGTCAAGGATTTCCACTCAAAGTGTACACCCCTCGATCAAAAAAATCCACCAAGGGGTTACTGCTTGGATAAGAGTATCGAGAAAACCATCTTACAATTCGGGAATCCCACAATGGTGGCTTTCCTGACTAACCAAAAAGGTTGGTTCCCAAAGAATGGGAACCCCAACCCCCAACCATCCGTTCCTCTTACAACCAACCAAAAAGGTTGGCTCCCAACAACTGGAACCACCCCCCAAGCCCATTTTAGGGTCACCCTACACTCGCACATGGAAGCTTTGACTCGAGGCGCCACGGCGACTTCAGGCGGGAGGTGCAGTTGGCCCAGCACTTTGAGCGGTGGCGCACCTCTTGGCCTCAGGCGAAGGTCCTTGTCTGGGTCCTCCAGTAGAGAGGTTAGAATAGGTGGGTACCCGATTTTTCCCCTTGTCCATTTTAGTAGGGGAACCCTCCCCCCAAAAAAGGGGTGAGAAAGGGCACTACTGGGGACCTAGCTGTGGTCCTACTCACCCCAACCACCCAACCACCCCAACCACCCCGACCACCCCGACCACCCCGACACCCCGACCGCCCCAACCACCCCAACCACCCAAATCAAGCAGGGGTTCCCGGAGTTGGATTTCCTGAGATTGGCCTCTACATCATCCCAGCCGTGGCTTGAATTTGGGCCCACGAAACTTCAAATGCAATCAAAGTATCAAAGAAGACCCCAGGTGAGACTGTCCCAACTCACTTCCTCAGCGGTTTGGTCAAATAAAGTCCGAACTGTCTGTTTGTGTCCACCCCCAAAAATATCAAGTCCAAGATCTCAGGGAGCAAGAAGACCTACATCACGCTCGCTTCACTGGATCAGTCAGGTAAAACCTGGACTTCAAAGGGGGGATATCTGCAATGGCTCAACGATTGTCCCTTCTCCACTGACCCGGGATTCAATGGCTCAACGATCAGGAGGCTACAAGAGCTTCTTGGATGTTCAACCCGAAGGATTTAAACATGCTCTTAACCAGACTTCTGCCGGAAGTAATGCAAAGTGAATGGCTCAGCCGTTCAGCTTTGGCAGGATGTCCAGTGAATTCAGCTTTGAAATGACTGCGACTGACACCAACATGTTCTCTGTGCGTCGTTGCCAAGGCAACCCATTTGGGTTGATGAATCACAGTTTTCCGACAAAAAAGAGAATGGACGCAAGCAAAAAATCGAATACAGGGTTACCATCCCCCCCAAGGGGGGAATTCTAAAAACGTGTTTAGATGATGGTCCATATTTTGCGAAACGTTCTGTGCACTTACGATATCAGGAGACCCAAGTTTATGTGTGTACGACTAAATGATACGCTTTGTGATACACAAGTATGCACATATATATATATATATACTATCTGTATATTTATATATATATATATATATTATATTATATTATATTTACATATAAGTATGAGGAGGCTGGGGGGGGGCTTGACTAATTCGAACAACGTGCGTCGGCGTGACGCCGAGTCAGCCAAGCAAGACAACTGCAACTCGTGCTAGTTCATCTCTTTGGCGCTTATCAACCGAGTTCTGGCGCACTGTCCGCGTGGCTGACTGTTGCTTATGTCCTTTCCTCATGCCGCAACTCGAGGAGCGGTTTGGGTCTCCGGCCCTGGCACCATCGCGCAGAGGAAAGCATCGGGCATGCGGCGCAATGAGAAGCCACGGTGACCGCAGCAAGTCTCAGTGAAGCGTGTCATGACAAAAAGTGGCCGGCCTAAAGAGCGGGCGACCTTTTCTAGCTCTGAAGGCTTGCAACGGCTTGTTTGCAACGGCTTCTTCTTCCGCCGAGGCAGCGCAGGCATTCAGCAAAGGCAGAAACGGTGATTGGGCCGCATTGTTGCTTGGCCCCACAGGGTCTCCAACAGGCCAATGGGGACTCGATGATGGAGAGGTGTTCGGGAGTGATGTAGGTTTGGTGAAAGTCCAAGTCGACGGTGACTCCCTCAAGCACACCGCAGTGTGCAAGAGCTGCCCCTGAAGCAATGACGTCAGCTCGATTAGACTGAGCACGTGCAGGCTGGCGCTGGACATATGCGGGCATGGGGAAGCGTGTGCGGAGCCATTGTAAGCTTGTGTAGGATGTTCAAACTTGACCAAGGATGGTGCTTGTGTCAAGAGCTTTCACATGAATGGCTCAGGCATTGGAGCGTATGCCTGAAACTCTTTTGTGCGTGCGACAAGTTCAGTTGTAAGAGTGCAGGCAGCTTCGTCTTGTGTAACATCTGACACTGCCCGTGAGGCGATGCTACCTGTTTTTTGAGATGATTTGCTTTGACGGCTTGTTTGAGTTTGACCTGGTTTGCCTTCGGAAGCAAAACATAAAAGGAATCGCAGGGCCAATACATACTCGCAATTAATGTGTTTCTATGCCTCCAGGCCACCCGCCGTCTAGATTTTATCATATTTTTTTTTCAATCACTATCTAATCATATTTATTTTATTGTTGTACATCTTGAAATTACTCTATTATGTATTGCTTGTACATGAGCATTCATCATAATGCTATGACGAAGCGCATCAACTATTCTCCGGGTTGTTCAAGGCTTCGTGCCTGTTCATACCAGCTTCTTTATCTTCTTGCATGCTTGTCTAAATGGCTTTCCCTTTCATTCACATTGCCATCTTAGCTCGGTTGCTTTCTGCTCCCCTGCTGAAAGCTTAACTTTTAGTGGTTTAGTGGAAAACTCATGAGTTGGCAAAAACTTCAAGTCCTAACAGCCCTTGGCAAAATTTGCACCAAAGTCAGGAGACAAATGCAAATCCCACACCAAAGGATGGCGCCAAATTGTTTGGTCCGAAGAGCTCTCTGCCAGGTTCAGCCCCCGTGCGTAGGCGGTGCTGGGTCTGATGCTCCGGGGCCGCCTTTGATTCCAGGTCTGTGGGGCAACCAGTTTCCTTCTGGATGGACGAAATCCATGTCGCACCACCAAACTCGGTTGCCTTCCGCTCCCCTGCTAAAAGCTTAACTTGTAGTGGTTTAATACGGAAGACCCATTTTGCAAAAAGTTGAAGCCCCTAACATCCAAGCAAAATGCACCAAAGAAAAGAAACCCTGGTTTCCGATGATTCCCCTGTAAGTACCAAGTCCATGGGTTCGAAGTGGTGCAAGATTTCGTCCATCCACGGTCTAGAAGACGGTTTGGACATGGCGAATCTGTGGATCTGCTCTAGAATCTTGAGAGTCAATAATTACTACAAAGGGACCAACCGCGGGAAGAACAGGTGAAATCACAAAACGCGTGTAACAAACTGTGTTCTAGAATAGGTAACCAGGCAAGTTCCTTCTAGTCATTAAAGGATTTCAAGTTGGTTAGCTAGATGGAATCACTTTGGGATCCCTAAAAGCTATGGAAACACAATCTCGGAATGAACCTAAGGAATCCACCAGTTGGATGCAAGGTTCTTAAGCGATGAGTAAATATGACTACAACCCTGTTTCCCTGATTGACAGTCCCCGCGTGGGTTACAACCATGGCTACCAACCACTACGTCCCCTGCCCCTTTAAGTAGTGAACCAAGTCTTATGTACCCGTGAATACATGTTGATGGCACTCTTCATCTGCTAATACTATAAAGCATTGTCTAAACCATTGATGTTTTAAACAACCCTTCTTTGAGTTTTTCCTCTTAACCACTCTGGTCTAATCAAAGCATATCTAAGCACTTTTCAAGGAAACAAGCCCAGGTCCTCAAAACCACCACCAGAGAACGAGTAAGACCCAGTTGCAACTATTGACCCGAGTCACAAAAATATTTGGAACCCAGTTGGCGGACCAGTAGTTGGAAATCCCCCAAGCAACACGGGGATTTAGACTAGGTCCTCCAGTAGAGAGGTTAGAATAAGGGTACCCTTTTTTCTGTTGTCTATTTTAGTAGGGGAACCCTCCCCCGAAAAAGGGTAAAAGGGCACTACTGGGGGACCTAGTACAGCGTGTCACTGAACAACTGGGTGTTTAGGTACTAAAAGGCCTGCAACTGCCCCCTCCCCCCCCAAATTGACACTCACATAGGGTGCGCTTGGAGACCCGGTCGGGCCATCTTAAAGGGGGGAATAAACATTGGGCCAAGATTCCAAATATGAAGGCAAGACAATAGGTGGATGCTCTAAATATTGCAAGTACACCAACCACAGCCAAGCACAGAACCATGGCACACCTTGGTAAATCCTGGGTTTCCTCGTACGCTTTGCCAAACAAACAGTCATCCACCATAGCTGTGCGTCAAAAAGGGGCAACCGCCTGCCAGGTGGGAAGGTCTAATGCTCACGCATACAAAACCAACCAGAACCTATACAAAAGCAACTGAAGACCACATCCAAAGCAATGACTTATGGTTGGTTCGGGCTGTGCCCTTTGTGAACGGGCGCTGGATTCTTGCGCCGTGTTTGTCTCAAAATATCTAAAGCCGGCCCATGTGGGAGTTGGCACTCCATGAGAGTGTTTCTCCGAGACTCGAAAAAAGATTCAGGTCATGACCTCGTATTTTTTTGCGTACATGATCAAATTGTCGAAGGGTCTAGGACAGGTTCTCCAAGGCATACATCCCCAAACTGACATCTGTGTCACAGGAGGATCCAAATCAGCGGGCAACTCATGGCGTGCTTTTTCATGGCGTTTCTTCCTTTTTGGCCCCCAAGGAAACGGATGCGAAGCAAGTCTCTGAGGTGCCAGCGTGATGCCCGCCGCGCCAGCTGTGGTATGTGAATCTTGTTTCGTCAATGGCTCTGTGGGTGACGTGGCTGCTGTTCTGGTTGTGCCAGCGGCAGTCGTGTGCACGTCACGCGTGTAGGACTGTGAAGTTACTGTGGATGGTGCCGAGCTGGCTGCGCTCACGCTGGTGGTATGTGAATCCTGTCCCGTTACTCGTAGTGAAGTAGTGGCTGCAGTATGCACGTCTCGCGTGTTCAAGGGCTGCGAAGTTACTGTGGGTGATGCCGCGTTGGTTGTGCTAGCTCCTGTGGTACGTGAATCTTGTGCCGTCAATGACTGTGAAGGTGATGTGGGAGTTGCATTGGTGGTTGTGCTAGTGGCTGTGGTATGCACATCTTGCGCGCTCAAGGGCTGTGAAGGTGATGTGGGAGTTGCATTGGTGGTTGTGCTAGTGGCTGTGGTATGCACAACTTGCGCGTTCAAGGGCTGTGAAGCTAGCGTGGGTGATGCTGTGTTGGTGGTGCTAGAACCTGTGGTGTGTGAAGCTTGCGCCGTGACTGGTAGTGAAGGTGAGGAGGGTGCCGCCGTTCTGGCTGTGCTGGAGGTAGTATGCACTTCTTGCCCGTTCAAGGGCTGTGAAGTTGCGGTGGGCGCTGTGTTGGTTGTGCTAGCGTCGCCAGGGAGTAGCCGCGCGGGAACGGTGGCAATCGACTCCGTCAGATTGCTGCCTTACTCGCCAATGGCCATCGGGAAACGAAAGCGGAACCTCCAGAGCCTCTGATGCCCGTTCAAAATGCTCAAAAGGGCCACGTTCCGAACATGTATGCTTGCAAAATACGGAGATAGAGCATCTCTTGCCGGGAAGCAAGGGGAAGAATGCATCGGTGGGCAAACCAGAGCAGGACTTTTGGCAACCAGAATAGAGACATAGTATCCTTAGAGAACTCCTAGTTCCAGCAAACGGATTGGATGCGCTTTCTGTGGTTTCCCCATGTTGTTTGGCTAGTTGTTCCTCTTGCTAATACTCTTTCAGTACTCTCTTGCTATCCTGCAAGGGTGGCTCCACAAAAACCGCATCCAAACCGTTCCTGACTAGTAGCTTCTCGGCCCCCTCTTCAATTGGGACCATTGGGCTTCGCCGAGTTCCTTGGCTCCCTTAGAAAACAATTCAACAGCCGGACGTCTTTTGCCAGGGTCCACATCAGTGCGCCGAGTGGAAAATACCATTCCAGAATCCGGGAAGCAGGATTTGCGCGCTTTGGCAAGAAATGAAATTGGAGAAAGCATGGTCAGCATGAAAAACCTCCAGAAGTGAAATTCAGACAGCCCTTCATGCATAAATGTCAAAGAGCGCGAGACAGAGAGAGAAAAAGAGAACAAACAATAACCCAACATATAGGAAGGGAGCAATAAACACAACAAGCGCGTCAGGAGGGGCGTGACCCTAGGCGTCTGTTGTGGCAAACAAACTGAAACCAGTGGAAAAAAAATCTTGTTTCAACCAGTTGACATACAAATGGCCGTGATTGCCCCCCAAAAAGTGATCCGGATCCCCTCAGACATTGGACACCTAGGAAAGCCTGGAGCAAAACTCATTACCACCACCGGTTGGGGCAGCTCGCACCGGAACCGAAGACTGAACAGGTTTCGGCCTCAGCCCAGTCCCCCAGTTCTTACCCCAATTCCTTGGTTTACTCAAAGCATCGGCGATAGCTTTTCGTAACATCATCTTAGATTAAGCTAGTTGGTGGTTTGGTGACCGTCCTGAGGGGTACCTGATAGGTTTTTGCTGGTGCCTGCTTTGAAGGTGCCAAGGGACACTCGGGGATGGTCCTTGGGATATTATGCTGGGGAACGGATACAGTTTCGATGCAAAGGGGATTGCGCACTGCACGTAAAGGGGCGCCTACCAACAAAAACAAAACAAAGAACTAAACAAACAAAAAACCTACCCGGAGAACACCACAACAAGCGCATCACTCAGGGCTGTGGGGAATGACCACTTCTGTGATACAACAAAAAGGGCTTCCCAAAGACTACTTTGTTAATATACTGGGGGATTCCGTGGTATCACAGAAGTCGGCAAAAAAATGAAACTCGATCCCGCAACCCTGGCATCACTGGGTGGGCTGCTGTTGCTGTCGTTGGCCGCGGCATTGGTCCCGCGGCGTGTTCTGGCGCTGAGCAACGCCCGGGAGAGGTCGACGCGCAGCGCACTGCTCTCAGGCGGAGACTCCAACGCCATTTGGCCGATGAAGAAGTGGGACACGGAGAACAGCGCGAAACAACCTGACATGTGGCTGTGGCTCAAACAAGTGGTTCCAAAATGGCACCTCGGTAAATGGAACCAAAACCTAAAACCTGCGTATATAACTCTAGCTCTTTAATTTTGAGCCATACCCATGTGAACTTCTTGGTTAAGCCCACCTTTTCCCTGCGAACTTTGAGGTTCCAATGGGCCATTTGGACAAGGCAAAGGAGCCGGGTGTGGTTTCCAACAACAGTGAAGCGGGTTGTGCTTTTCTTTTGAAAGGCATTTTCGTGGCATTTCAATACAAAGCCAAGTTGATGAGCTCAGAAGCTGCCGGCTGTCCACCAGAGTCGGCCCCGGCACATGGGCGCACGGCGCTCGCATGGGCTCAGGTTGGCCGAAGGAGCGATATGCCTGCCTTGTGCAGGGGCGAAATAGCACTTCAGCACTTTC